GAGTGTTAATAAAATGGAGTCAGCGGCGCGATCCCCTGTGAGGGCGTATCTTTGTCTCCTGTGTTCTGACCGCGACACCGCACACGCACCGCACATGCACACGCACCACACGCTACGCTGGATCACGCTTCGGGTAAGTGTCCAGGTAAGTCCTGCTCCTCTTCCACTCCCCTTCTCCCCCTCTTTCCCCCCCCCCCCTCCACCGCTTTTGACCACCTTCCGATCCCACCGCTCTGGGTCGGTCCCTCACCCCTTCCGAACCCTTCACCTCTTCACACCTGAGCCGCCTTTTCTGAACCCCTTTCCCGAACCCTGACCCTCTTTTCTGAACCCCTAATCCTCTTCCCGAACCTGAACTGCTTTCCTGAACGCCTGACCCCCTTTCTGACCGCCTTTCCGAACCCCCAATCCTCTTCCCCGACACCCTTTCCGTACCCCTAATCCCCTTTCCTAATCCTCTTCCCAAACCCCTTTTCTGAACCCCTAATCCTCTTACCCAATCCCTTTCCGAACCCCTAATATCTAAACTCCTAATCCTCTTCCCCAAACCCCCTTTCCCAATCCTTTTTCCGCACCCCTATTCCTCTTACTGAAGCCCCCTTTCTGAATCCCCAATCTTCCCCGACACCCCCTTTCTGAACCCCTAATCTTCTTTCTGAACCCCTAATCCTCTCCCGAACCCCCTTTCCGAACCCAATCCTCTGCCGAACCGCTTTCCGAACCCCCTTTCCGAACCCCCAATCCTCTCCCCGAACCCCCTTTCCAAACCCCCAATCCTCTTCCCCAACCCTTTTCTGAACCCCCAATCCTCTTCCCCAAACCCCCTTTCCGAACCCCTAATCCTCTCCCCGAAACCCCCTTTCCGAACCCTTAATCCTCTTCCCCAACCCCCCTATCCGAACCCCGAGTCCGCTTCCAGAACCCCCCTTTCCCAACCCCGAGTCCGCTTCCCGAACCCCCCCGTTCTGAACCCCTAATCTTCCCCGAACCCCTTTCCGAAACCTAATCCTCTTTCCGAACCCCCTTTCGAACCCCTAATCCTCTCTCCCGAACCCCCTTTCTGAACCCCAATCCTCTCCCCGAACCCCTTTCTGAACCCCAATCCTCTCCCCGAACCCCCTTTCCGAACCCCCAATCCTCTCCCGAACTCCCTTTCCGAAACCTAATCCTCTTTCGAACCCCCCCTTTCCGAACCCTAATCCTCTCCCCGAACCCCTTTCCAAACCCCAATCCTCTTCCCAACCCTTTTCTGAACCCCCAATCCTCTTCCCCGAACCCCCTTTCCGAACCCCTAATCCTCTCCCCGAACCCCCCTTTCCGAACCCCCAATCCTCTCTCCCGAACGCCCTTTCCGAACCTCCAATCCTCTCCCGAACCCCCTTTCCGAACCCCCAATCTCTTCCCCAATCTCTTCCCAAACCCAATCCTCTTCCCAAACCCCTTTCCGAACCCCCAATCCTCTTCCCAACCCCCTTCTGAACCCCTAATCCTCTCCCCGAACCCCCTTTCCGAACCCCCAATCCTCTTCCCAATCCCTTTCGAACCCCAATCCTCTTCCGAAACCCCCTTTCCGAACCCCCAATCCTCTTCAAACCCCCTTTCCGAACCCCCAATCCTCTTCCCAACCCCCCTTTCCGACCCCCAATCCTCTCCCCCAACCCCCTTTCCGAACCCCCAATCCTCTCCCGAACCCCCTTTCCGAACACCCCTTTCCGAACCCCCAATCCTCTTCCCGAACCCCCCCTTTCTGAACCCCTAATCCTCTCCCCGAACCCCCCTTTCCGAACCCCCAATCCTCTCCCGAACCCCCAATCCTCTCCCCGAACCCCCCTTTCCGAACCCCCAATCCTCTTCCCGAACCCCCCCTTCTGAACCCCTAATCCTCTCCCCGAACCCCCCTTTCCGAACCCCCAATCCTCTTCCGAACCCCTTTTCGAACCCCAATCCTCTTCCCGAACCCCTCTTTCCGAATCCCCAATCCTCTCCCGAACCCCCAATCCTCTCCGAACCCCCTTTCTGAACACCCTTTCCGAACCGCAATCCTCTTCCCGAACCCCCCTTTCTGAACCCTAATCTTCCCCGAACCCTTTCCGAAACCCTAATCCTCTTTCCGAACCCCCCCTTTCTGAACCCCCTTTCCGAACCCCCAATCCTCTTCCCGAACCCCCCCTTCTGAACCCTAATCCTCTCCCCGAACCCCCTTTCTGAACCCCCAATCCTCTTCCCGAACCCCTTTCCGAACCCCAATCCTCTCCAAACCCTTTCCAAACCCCAATCCTCTTCCGAACCCCCTTTCCCGAACCCAATCCTCTCCCGAACCCCCATCCTCTCCCCGAACCCCCCTTTCCGAACCCTAATCTCTTCCCCAAACCCTAATCCTCTTCCCCAACCCCCATCCGAACCCCCAATCCTCCAACCCCCTTTCCGAACCCCCAATCCTCTCCCCGAACCCCCCTTTCGAACCCCAATCCTCCCGAACCCCCCCTTTCTGAACCCTAATCTTCCCGAACCCCTTTCGAAACCCTAATCCTCTTTCCGAACCCCACCTTTCCGAACCCCTAATCCTCTCCCGCGCCCTGGTGCTGGTTTGCGGTTGGAGCCGCGCTCGGAAAAAAAAAAACAAAAAAAAAACACACGACTGTTCGTCGTCTGCGTTTGAAGCCTCGAAAGGTTGACATTCCAGACAATTTGCTGTTGTTTTACCTGCACTGTCCCGAGCTTCACCTTATCAGAATAGTCCTTCCACCTGACGGTGCCTCACGGCGTTCTCGGAACCCCTCGAAGCGCTTCCGCAGGGCTTTACCGCGAAGTGACGTTGTTGTTTAGTCAGAACGACAGCCCTTGCATTTGGCACTGCGCCTTATCACCTCATTGAGACGTCGCAAAGCGCTTCGCAGGATACGCTGCACAGAGGAGTGACTGTGTTTTGTGGGTGAAACACGGCAGCCAATTGCACACAACCATTCTATATATATATATATATAGTTAGTTATAGTTAGTTATTTATACATTTTATTTAGATATATTTTCAAACTATGTTTATTACTTAGTTAGATATATTTTATAAATCTATTTATTATTTAGATGTGTTTTATAGATCTATTTATTTATACATTTTATTTATTTTTTAAGCATTTTATATATTAATTATACATGTGTGCCATTTGCTGCCACGTTTCACCCACATGATACAGCCACTCCACTTTACAGCGTATTCTGTGAAGCGCTTTGGTACGTCCTCCTGACTTGAAAGATGCTGTACCTAATGTAAGTAATGTGTATTTTTTGGGCCAAAGAGTGGGTTGACTCTTGCATTTTCTTTTAGAAAATAACATTATGGGATACAGTGCACAGGTAGTGCCGGGAAAATGGAAGGCGAACAAGACAAACCCTGGTCTTTTTTTCATCTGAAACAACAACAAATCGCACTTGTATCGCACCATTCATGTCGGAAGGACCTCCCGGGGCGCTGGACAATCAGGGGTTTTGGACCCCGAGCTGGGAGTTAGGGTCAGAAGGGGAGGAGGGGGGCGGGAAAGTACAGTGGAAGAGGACGTCGAGCACTTCTTATGTTCTAATCTAATGTTTCCTTTGGGTTCCCCAGGTTTTGCAGGAACACCAGGCTACCTCTCCCCCGAAGTGCTTCGGAAAGAAGCTTATGGAAAACCAGTGGATATCTGGGCATGTGGTAAGTGGCCCGACGAGGCTCGGATTGATCTGGGTTGGTACACAGACTCAAACACACACACACACAATACAATTCCCTGCTGGATAATAATAATCTTTGCATTTGATATAGTGCCTTATCACATTGAGACAACAAATTACACTTGTATAGCAGCGCCCTTCACGTTGGAAAGATGTTTCAAAGAATGAATAGAATATATTCTAAAGTGGAGTGACTGTGTATTTCGTGGGCAGTTATACAGCACCCTTTATGCGGGGTAGCTCCTCTGAGTGTTTAACAGAGGTGTGGTTTGACGCCGGGGAGAGGGGGAAGGTGACCAAAGGCACGGTTCCAAGACGAAGGTCCTTAGGTGCGATTTGAAGATGGGCAAAGTGGGGGTGGGAGTGGCGGGGGGGGGGGGGCAAGACGAAGGGATTGAGGCAGTGAAGCTGCAGAGATTCGGGGCGTACTGTTATCTCTCTTGAAGAGCCGAAACTGAGAGTAACGTCAGCGGCACAAGAGATGTGGACAGTCTGGGCTGCCTCGGTGCCTCTCCCTTGCACAAAGTCTGAACAGGTCCATTGCCTTTCAAGCCGTTCTGTTGAATGATGCGAGACTTTTTCTCAAACAAATTTGGTTTCCCTGTTTCTCTTGCTGCAGGCCCCACACAATGGAGTAACTCGCTGGTTTCCTACCATTCTCACTCCCCACCCCCCAATCCCCCCACTTACGCCCAACTCTTGCCCTGAGTATCAGAGTCGTTCCTCAATGTGGTTCTCGTGGTCCCACGATGATCCGTCTTCTCTTGCTCCGTCACTTGCTCCAAGCTCTTACCCCTCACCTCATCTGCCCCACTCCACTTCCCGTCCCCCCCCATTTCTCCCAACCTGCCGGACGGACGCTTGCAGGTGGTCTCAAACCCTGGGGACGAGACCAAAACCGGCAAGAATGGCGTCTGGGAGGTACAGCGAGAAAACAGCCATTGCTAGTGGACCTGCAGCAAAATAACAACCCCCCCCCCCACCCCACCAGACAAATCATCACACAACTAACAGCTCACCAAAGCAATGAGATTGTCTGAGCTTTGTACAAGGAGTGCGGCACAGCACAGAGAAACAATACACGCAGCAGGAGCTTTGTGCTGCTGGTCACCTCGCTCTTTGTTCTGACAGTCACGTACACAGTCACTGCACTTTGCAGTATACCCTGTGAAGCGCTTTGAGACGTCTCAACAACATGATAAGGTGCGGAATCAAATGCAAGGATTATTATTATTGTTACATTGATATTGAGCTGCTGTTGGCTTGCTCACACCCTCCTCTATGTTTTACAGGAGTCATTCTCTACATCCTGCTGGTTGGATACCCACCTTTCTGGGATGAAGATCAGCACAAGCTCTACCAGCAGATCAAGGCTGGCGCTTACGATGTACGTAAACCAAAAGCAACTTTTTGCCAGCAGCTATGCCATGTCTCGAGACGGACATCGGGACATTTCTGCTTGAAAACATTTAAGGGAAGGGATTTGAGTTCAGTATTTGCTCAACACACACACACACACACACAGTTGCTGCACTTTATAGTACGTCTTGTAAAGCTCTTTGGGACGTCATCCCGACTTGAAAGACTCTACAACTTACATTTATATCGTACCCCTCCCTCGCACAGAGTAGCATCCTAGAGGACTGTACTGTCTGTGTCTATCATTTGTAGATAAACCAATGTGTTGTGCCAAGACTTACCAGGAGTCCTGATGGTCACGCCCTTCTTAAGTGCCTTTGTGAAGCTGTGAAAGAAATCAAAGAGTAACGTTAAGATTCAGTAAGATTCTTTAGAGTTAAGTTTTCATCTCAAAGTCACGGTTTGGAGGCACATTTTTATTCCATCCAGGCCTGAGCTCTGAAAGCCACAAAGAGAGAGGAAGACATTGCAAGATACAAGTACAAGCAATTGCATGTTTTTTATCCGGTAGATATAATGCTAGGATTACGTCTCAAAGCATCTTACATCACTTTACTGTGGCTGTATTTCGTAGCCAGTTTGCTGAAAATTATTTTGTCCGTGTTGCCATTAATAATGCTGGTGTGTTTTTCTCCTCTCTCCCCGCTCTGCCACAGTTTCCTTCCCCTGAGTGGGACACAGTCACCCCAGAGGCCAAAAACCTCATCAACCAGATGCTGACCATTAATCCAGCCAAGCGCATCACCGCAACCGAAGCTCTCAAACACCCATGGGTTTGCGTAAGTGGCTGTCTGTGCACAACAACTAACTCTCATCATTGGTGGAGGGGACGAGGAGGGAATTAGAAATAAACACATCTCATTGACAACACCACAAACATCAGCAATTATCTGAAACGCCACTTAAGATAACATTTCGTCGTGTCCCCCCCGCCCCGGCCGCTGGGCACTTGTGATGAAATTTCAGATAATAAGAGTTCCGAGGGGAACTAAACAGTAGAACCAGAGGACACGGCCTGCAATTGAAGGGGGGGTTAATTCAAAACAAACCTGCACAGCAATACTTCCCTCGATAGTGAGCGAGTAGTCAACTTATGGAACAGCTTCCTTGGGAGACAGATGGTGGAAGCAGAAAGTGTTGATTGTTTCAAGAACAAATTAGATAAGATTTCAGTTAGGAAATAATAGAGGATACAGTATAGGACACGACATGCACAAGCGACTGCCAGGATGGTGGAAGGTGAACTAGATGAACCTTGGTCTTCTTTCGCCCCAGCAAGTTATTATGTTCTTATAAAAACTCACAGCACATGAAAATATATAACATCTACAGTACAAAAGACAGACCTCCTGTATTTTCAGGAGGGGAAACTGGTTAATGAACAGTGACAAACAAGTCATATACACGCATTCAATTCTGATGTTAAATATCCTAACATGGATTTTTCTTTAATATTTCAGCAACGATCCACTGTGGCATCTATGATGCATCGCCAAGAGACCGTAGAATGTTTGAAGAAGTTCAACGCCAGGAGAAAACTCAAGGTAAGAAACCAACCCTCTTGCATTTCTGTTAGTAACATGTACAACAATAATAATAGTTTGGTCACTCAATCCACCACTGTTTGTGGGACAATTGGCTTCCACGTTTCGCCCACAAAATACAGTCAATTCACAGTACATGGTGTGAAGCGCTTTGAGAAGTCTCAAAGACCTGATAAGACGCTATATCAAATGCAACAATCATCATTACAACACTTCCAGGTGTTTTTCAATGTGGCATAATTAATACAGTACAGATGTGAATGCTTTCAATAATAACATTTGTATCCTAGGAACTGCAGTGTTAGGGGGGGGAACATTTTAAAGGGTTTGACTGCAGCAACATTCACTGTATGTAACACACACATTTAAAAGGTTTACAATTCAACACATTTAAAAGGCACATCTCCAAGTATTTCAGTGTTTTTGCCAACTATTTCAAACACTTGTAGTGACATAGTATACAATATAACATCCATGTGTAGCATAGACCATTTCTTTGGTCAGCCGACATGCATCGCACCTTCACATATAACATATAACACATATATAACGGCATACATTATATAAAGGCAGACATTAATTATAGATTAATTGGGTACATCTCCAATTAACTCATCGACACATAATACCTTCAGAGACTCACATATAAAATATACATTCACATTTTTGGAATAACAAAACACATCTCATACCCAACATTCCTCTACTTTTGAAAGAACACATATCCTTAAGTTTTGAAACTTTACAGTGTATTTTGTGAAGTGCTTTGGATGTCTCGGCGACACGATAAGGCGCTATATCAAATGCAATAATCATTATTATTATAACATTTCCAGGTGTTTCCAAAATACACAGCTCAAGAATTGCAGTGCAGCAAAGCAAACAGCAGTTTGCAAGAACAGTGTACAAACCTACACCTTTTTCTTAAGACAGTGTACCCGATTTTCTTTTCGACACATTCATAGCTGCAAGTTTTGCAGTGCAACGACGACAACGTATTACATTTGTATAGTACCTTTCACGTCAGGAGGACGTCCCAGTGCGCTGAATAAACATACAGCATAACCAGATAGTAACCCCAAACGATGCAGCACAGTACATACATAACCTTAGTAGCATAATAGACATGTAAAGGCCTTGTGATAGAAAGCAGTGCGTACAATTGCAATATAGCATCACAAGTAATCAGTGTTCTGGTATCTAAGGTTTTCCGCACAATAAAACCCACACATTGAAAAGGTTCAGAATGAAGCAGATTGCATATAAACAGGATTGTAGCAGCAAAAATGAGTCCCCAAGGTTTGCGAAACAGCACAATAGGTAACCAAAGGCACATAGACATTCAGAGACTTGTACTGTAGCTGAAACAAACAGTAACAGATATTATCAATGACTTGCACTACAGCAAAATAACGATAATAATCCTTGCATTTGATAAAGCGCCTGTGATCACGTCTTTGAGACATCTCAAAGCGCTTCACAGGACTTACTGTACCGTGGAGTGACCGCATTTTGTATGCAAAATAAATACCCCCTTTCGTGTAAATTGCTCTATACAGGCAGAAAGAATGGTACACATTTATATGCTTGTAAAACAGGCTGCGTATGTCGACAACAACATGTTATTGTATTGTGCCTTTCACGTCAGGAGGACGTGCCAAGGCGCTGGAGGCTTTTAGTAAAGTAATACACACACACACGCCTTTGGTTGAGTACTGTATTGTGGTATATACATAAAGAGGGATTTGCAATGCTACACAACCGCAAATATTCAAGCACAGCAATGAAAAATAGATGTTCTAAGGCTTAGAATACCGTCAGCCATTTATTCATGGGATTGCAGACACATTGCCACAGCTTGTCGGACCAAAATACTGTACACTTGACCCAAATACTCAGTCAAACACTTGCAAAGACTGACATGTTCCAAGGTTTTGGCAGAATAGCGTATTCGACAAAATGCAACAGTAAAACAATTTGTGTATAGTCAAAGGCTTTCAGTAATATGCTCCCATTTGTCAAATGGCATGACCACACCAACAACAAACTTGCACTTATATAACATCCCTCCAGCAAGGTAGAGCGCTTCTTACTCAGTGCCTTGCACTGCACTGAAACATATTCCGTGGCTCGCAATTTAGCAAAACACATATGCTGAATGCTCGTCGTTAGACATCATATACGACGACGACGACAACAACAAGATTACATTTGCACAGCGCCTTTCACTTCGGGAGGACGTCCCAAGGGGCTGAAATATATGTCTAAGGATGAATAGCAAAAGTCGTGGCAGGTTTTCAATGGCATAGCACGTGTTCCGATAGCAAACAGTGACTCCTGGTACATGGTTAAATACTTCAAATACTCATCTCCAGGTATCTCAGAATTGAATTTTGTTTTGCGGTCAGCCGGGCTTCCGACACATACCGAAACCTATCACTGTGCTTCAGAGCATCCAAACCAAGCTGAGGATTCCAAGCGTCCCACCTACACACGGAAATCCCCAGAGATATTATGAAATGCCAACCTGAAGAGCGTTGAGGCTTTCCTGTACCTTAACAGTTCTTAACAGTCCTCGAGTCCTTTCGCCTCAGATCCAAATTAACTTGGCTTTCATTTTCATTTTTCTCCTTCCTCTTCCAGGGTGCGATCCTCACCACCATGCTGGCCACACGCAACTTCTCAGGTGAGCCTGTCCGTCCACGCACTGTAAACACAGTTTGAAAAGAACACACAGTTAGTAATAGTCCCATCTATTGCTGAGGAACTCTGCCTCACTAGTGAGGTCCAGGCACCTCAGTGAGTTTCTGTTCACTGCTGCCTAGACACAGTCACACCGACCCGGGGGAACTCTGCTCCAGCACAATCCATGAGCTCCGCAAGCGGGAAGTTTCCCCCCCGGTATAAATGACGTCCTCCGGCCCCTGGAGGGATTCGGAGTTAAACATGCAGGCAGGGAGCAATCACCTCAATGCAGACATCTTCCTCTCTGACCACACCTACGGTCATCTTTCTGTGCCCTCCCCCCCCACCCACCCAGCCAGGACATCCTCTCAATGTATAAATGGACGTTTCTTGTGCAGTAAACCTCACCCAAGTCCCATCGGTTGGGACTTATGCCAAGTATGAGTTATGTCAGACTTGCATAGACTATCAACTCTTGAACAGGACTTGGGCAGATGTAACTTAGGCGATTAATACAGATCAGACTTATGCCAGTTTTACTGTATTGTGTTGCAAAGTAAAGAAGTAGCGGAAACCTTGACTGCCTGGTGACCTGAATCTCAGGCCAGTTTGGTTGGTTGGTTGATTGAACCGGGCATCTCTTGTGGAATGAGTTTGACTGACCACAGCCTCATGACCCAAACACACAGGTTCCCAATACAAGCAACAAGTAGCTTGCTCGCAAGTGGAACTAGCGTTCAATGCACTAACGTACAAACCCTGAGAGCAACGGCTCTTTACCTTTGCACGGTCTGTCTCTCTCGGCCTCGTTTGTGGTATTCTGCAGCTTCAGGTTCCTGCCAGAGGCTCAGGGATGTTCTGTGGGGAGAGAAAACAAAGGAGAGAGAGAGTGAGAGAGAGGAAATTGTACACACTAGCTGTGTTTTTGGTCAACACAAAAATCTTGCTGGGTTCCCTAAACAGCAAGCAGTGCCTATAAGACTCCCCTGAGGGTGAAAGGGATTTGTGCGTTTACTGCGGTGTTGGGAGTCCTGTCGCACTCTTGCTTCACAACCGAGAGGAGCTGGGTGCGATTCCCGAGCAGGGCGAAACCTTAGGCAAGTTTCCTTATTCCACACGCCTCTGCTTACCCAGCAGTAAGCAGGATCATGGTTGTTGACGGATCGCTTTTCCGGGAGTAATAATCCCTTCCCCTAAAATATAATCTATAACTGTGGGACACTGCTGTGTGCAATTGGCTGCCGAGTTTCGCCCACAAAGCACACCTCGTTCACTTTACAGTATATTCTGCGAAGCGCTTTGAGACGTCTCAAACACATGATAAGGTGCTATGTCAAACGCGAAGATTATTATTATAGTTTGCGCAATCGATGCTGACTTGTTTTGCTTCTCTTCTTCCTTTGCTTTCTCTCTATTACCATCTTGCTACCGATAGTGGGCAGACAGACCACTGCGCCCGCCACAATGACAGCTGCTGCTGGCACCACCATCGGTCTCGTAGAACAAGGTAGAGGTGTCCGCGCGGACACAGCAGCTGGGGGGGCATGTGCTTTTAACATGGCTCACCAATGGTCCCAACTCTTCCATCTATCTGTCGTCTGGGATTTAATTTGTCTGAAAAAATACTTAACTTAAAAGGCAAAGGGACTTGGCCCAAAGAGAGAGCCAACTGCATGTCTGGGGAGCATGCTTGTACAGTCTCGTAGCTTACTTAACCTGTATTTGAGTGACTTCTCGAAGGCATGGACGGACTGGTAGTGCATGTTTTCCTCGCTGCTAACACGACAAGTCGGTGTTCATGTGTTTTGTTCTGTGGACTGAAAGGATTGATTTGCTCTTAAGGTAGATAGCCAGCGCTGGGGCTGAATGGCTTGTATCTGCGCTGTAAAATTTCTAAGTATTCCTCTAGAGCGCTACCAGAAAGAGCAGGCAAGCTTTTGAAGGGCAAGTTTAAAACAGGTGGCAAGTGACTGCACAGAAATTCTCGGAGATCATGTTTGTGTGCGTATTTGATCTGGGTTTTTACTGCCGAATGTTGCAGGGGTTTTAAGCTGGATTTTTGGGGATAGTTAAAACTTCGAAGTTCCGTTTGGTACCACTTCCTGTATTGTATCTAGCTTCCACTGCTTTTAGGTTTACTGTGACTCTGATAGATATCCTGAGACAGTCACCAGTGATCAACTGACCTGGAGAGAAGAATTGGAGTTGACTAGGGTTGGTGAACAACAACAACTTGCATTTATTACAGTGTCTTTCATGTGGAACAACATCTCGCAGCGCTTTACAAAGCAAGGACGGACACCGATGGGGGGGGGGGGGGAGAATGTGACCATAGACACGTTCGAAGAGGTAGGTTTTAAGGGAAGACTTGACAGACAGAGAGGGGTGACAAGGAAGGGGTGAGGAAGGTAGTTCCAGAGGTTTGGACATCGAAATGGAAAGCTTAATGGTGGAGCAAGCAGGGTGGGGGCAGTCGAACGGAGGGTGAGGTAGGAAGAAATCCTTTCCCCAGTATCTGCAAGAGCAGTTTGCATTTATGCAGTGCCCTTTACGCGGGTAGCGTCTCGGAGCACTTAACAGTGGCGTGGGTTTGACGTCGAGCCAGGGAAGGTAACCGTAGGCATGTTTGAAGAGGAAAGTCTTCAGGTACGATTGGAAGAAAGGGCAAAGAGGGGCGGCAAGGAGGAGAGATGAGGTGTGGCTGAAAGCATGGCCACCAAATACAGAGCAACAATCTACACTGGGGAGAGAAAGAGGGAACCCAATTGCATTTAGCCTCAAGTCACTGGATGTTTTCTACCTCCCTGAAGGTGTGCAAGTGTCAATGACCACTGCCTGGCAAGCTTCTTACCAGATTGCCCAGCTAGGATCACCCTACCCATTAGGGCTTTGGCTTCCAGAGTTAACAGGAGCTGAGTGGGAGGAATTCCTGCTCCTGGTGAGTGCCTTACGTCAGACCCAGGCTGGATGGTGTGCCATCAGCAGTGCCCTGGCGTCCTGCAGACAGGCATCACTCGAAAGAGGAGCGTTGGATTGTCTACACTTACTGTGAGGATGTCAGTAAAACACGCAGCAGGTAGACACGTAGAGTCCTGTAGCTCAGTGGTTAAAGCACTCGCCTCGCAAGCAGTCGGACCTGGGTTCGATTCCCGGCAGGGCGAAACTTTCCTTACTCCACACACCTCTGTTTACCTAGCAGTAAGTTGGAACCAAGTTGTTAGGTCGATTGGCTACCGCCTTTCACCCACAATTTGGTTGTGAAGCGCGAGAGACATCTTGAAGACGTGATACGGCGCTATATCAAATGCAAGGATTATTACTATTAATATTTCGGAGAGGAAGAGGAAATAGGGGGCGAACCTCAGACAGACTTGTGCATTCCGGTATTTTGTGTGTGCTCTGGTTACTCTGGAGTCTCATCCCTTGTTTCGCATGCACTTCTCAACAGTGAATGTCGCATGTGAAATTGGGAGCCCAAATATGCATGCGAGGGGCTGATTTGTGCATCTCTCAATGTTACTTGTCACCGCTGTAACTGGCGATGAGCCTTCTTCCGTGGACCAGTAGCAGGTATTTTAACACAAGATCTTACATGTTTTTACTGGACAGTCAGGGATTCGGACCCGAGCTGGGAGCTGGGATCAGGAGGGGCAGAGGGCAGGGAGGGCACTCACGGTGGATGGGTAATGGGAAGGAGAGCACAAGGGATTTGGAGATGATTGAGAACCGGATATTCAGCTCTCAAAGGTCTGAATGGATACAGAACAGAGTCTTGCCAGCGTAAAACTAAACCTGGACAGCCAATGTTGAGTGGGAGTAATGGCAACTCAAAACCTCACCACGCAGGGAAGATTTGTTGTGAGAGAGACCGGTCGGTGTCTGATATAATTTCTTTTCTTTTCTCTTTTGATTTCCTCCATCTCCTTGATTCCACCCCCATTACTGCAAGGTAAGGAGGCTGACAGCCAGGGCTCAAGGCTTAAAAAAATCTCTGTATTTCTAACACCCTGCTACTCTGCTAACCAAATTTCTTCTTCTCCCTTCGCTGTGGCCACATCACATTAAACGGATGTCGCACAAATGGGTTGGTTGGGAATGGCACAGGGATTAATGCACATTGTTAGAGCTTAGATCTTGTCTCAGTCTTACATGTTAACTCAGGGACATCAGCAAACAGTGTTTATATAATCTTGGAGTGGATATTTCTGCGTTTTGACTGCACGTAACAAGACTGGATTGTTAACATTTGATTGTTTAAGAATCCCAGTCAATATGTACAGATATTGCATCCCACCTACACATGGAAATCCCAGAGTTAGATTGTTGGAATGGAATGCGCAGTCCCCCTCTCCCTGGAGGGACGGATCCTCCACACCTAAGTCTGGAAAGTATTAGGTGCAGATTGGCAAGAGCCAAGGCTTGGGGGAACCCAGAGTGTGCTTTGGGGTAACTGCTGGATTCTAACCGGCTAAAACCACACAGCTTGACATTTAGAGCATTCCCGCTAGTTGCCCAGGTAGGACCCCCTACCCGTTAAGGCTTTGGCTTGCAGGGTTAACAGGAACCGTGTGGGATGACTAGTCTGCCCTTCCAGGTCCGGATGATGAGCCTGGCTGGGCCGTGCTGTCATCAGGAGTGCCCTGGAATACTCCTCGACTCCCTACCTCTCCCCCCACCTCCTGCACCAGGTTTCATTTCGCCCACAAAAATACATAGTCAATCCACGCTATAGTATATTCTCAATGACGTGATAAGGCACTATATCAAATGCAATAATAATAAAAATAATAATAATCCGGGATTTGATATAGTGCCTTATCACGTCTTTGAGACGTTTCAAAGTGCTTCACAGAATATAATGCAAGGATTATTATTATTACATTATTCTTCAGCCAGAGGTTGGTTGAGGGAAGCAATGTAAACAGAAGTAGGCAGGTATCAAATGGACACGATCGAGACATATAAAAGTAATTCTGTTCTTTCTCTTTCCCCAAAAATACAGCAGCTAAAAGTTTACTCAACAAGAAGGTTGATGGCGTGAAGGTAAGCTTTTGATCTTTAATGGTAGATTGTTATTGTCGTTGTTCCCCGCCCACCCCTTTTGCCAAAGTCGCCACTTTTCGCTTTGTGTTTATATAAAAAAAGAGAGAATTTTTGTTGCATTTTCTGGCTTCTGTTTAGTGCCTGCTATCACAGTTGAACAATACAATAGAGGTTTAGACTGAAAACGATGGAATTGTTAGTGTGCACCAATGCCTTTGTACTGACTGGTCACTGATTGTGGTAGAAACCATAGCAAGTCTCCTAAGGTAGCAGAAAAGAGCCAGTCCTCACTTGACCTTGATGTTGGACCAGATCTGTTTGGCCAAGATGCTCTGCAACATCTCACCTCATGAGACGTTGAGCGGATTAGGGTTATCCCGTAGGGTATTGGGTTAGAGCGCTTGCCTCGCAGGAATGTGGGCAACTCCAGGAATGTGGGGAACAGGCCGGTAAACAAGACTGAAAGGATCTCTCTTTAAAGAGTCAGCACAGATGCAATGGGCCAAACTGCCTTCTTCTGTAGATCTCTATGGTTCTGTGTCGTCCAGATTTACTGGTGGGTTTCACTGTTCACCTCCCTCCACACCCATTGCCAGGACAAACCGTCATTGTGCCCCTAACCTCAGTAGTCGTCGATCCCACAGTTCGCTTTAGGGATTTGGGGTTTTTTTTGATGAAGAAAAGCTTCCCCCCCCCCCCGACCCCTTCAACTCTCCTTTGTATGAAAATGATCATTTTCATCTTTCTTTAGTGTTCACACAACTCAAAACTCAAGTAATATATGGTTTACATTTGGTACGAGTGTGCGCGTGTGCAAATATAGATACATGTATGTGTCTGTCCATGTTTCGAGGGTGGGGGAATTGTACTCTATTCTCAATTACCAGTAGCGTCTATTTCCTTTGTCACCTAGTTGTGAGTTGTCAGGTTGGTTTGAGAGCATGGGGACAGCGATCATTTCCAAACCAAGCAGCAGCTCTCTCTCTCGTTCACGGCACAGCGACTCGTGAACGGCAGATACTCGTGAGCAAAACAGTGGTCGACAAATCCCTTCAACAACAACAACCGCTTGCATTTGTATAGGTCCCGCCGTGGCAGGCGGTATCGCAAAGCACTTCATGCCCTGGCACCTCCCTACCCCTCTAACTGGCTTTCTCCCCACTTCACCACTCGCTGCCTCCCCTCAGCTGGCTCAGGCCACCTGCTTGTCCCTCCTCCCCACCATTGGCAGCCGCACTTTGGAACTCCCTCCATCTTGCCCCCTCCCTCCCAGCTTTAAGATAACGACTGAAGACCTTCCTCTTCAGCCGTGCTTATGGTCACCTCCTCCCACCCCCTGGCTGGGCATCAGGCTCCACCACTGTTGAGCACTTTGAGTCGCTGCCTCGCATGAAGGGCACCTTGAAAATGCAAGTTGTTGTTGTTCAGAAAACTGAAATAGTCTAGGTGAGCTGATAGAGGCAGCGAAATCACAGCCGTACTGTTTCACAAGGAAAAGAATACTTTTCTTTGAGTGGGAGTGGAATTTGGGGACTTTGCTATGCGCAATTGATGCTGCGTTTCGTCCACAAAATACAGTCAATCCACTTGTACTTGACTTTACTCCACCTCAGTCTTGAATAAAATATAGTCCATCCATTTTACAGTATATTCTATGAAGTGCTTTGAGACATCTAAACGACGTAATAAGGCGCTATCACACATGCAAGGATTGTTATCAATGTGTTTTAGAGGAAATTATGAGGGTTAAGGGAATAGAGGGGTGTAGGTGAGGAAAAACAAACCGGCACAGACTAACTGGGCCGAATGGCCCATTCTATATAAATCGATGGTTTATTTTGGAGAAATAGTAGCTTTCAAAAGGGAATTGGATAGCTACATAAAGGAAAAATGTTTTTTTTTGATCTGCTGGGTAATGCAACAGCTAGCGATCTAGTATTATATGAAAGACTTCTTTGGTGGTGCTCAGAATTGTTTTTAAAGTGGCAAAGATAACTTTTTGGTAATACCACCTGTAGCTTAGTGGTTAGAGCGCTTGCCTCACAAGCGAGAGGACCTGGGTTTGATTGCCAGGCAGAGCAAAACTATAGACAAGTTTCCTTATTCCACAAGCCTCTATTTACCTAGCATTGAGTAGGAACTTGTTTGTTAGTCGATTGGTGGATCGCTCTCCGTGGGTAATAAATCCTCCAAAATCCACAATGTGGAACACTGCTGTGTACAACTGGCTGCCACTTTTCGCCCACAAAATACATAGTCAGTTGCCTACAAAACACACAGTGGAAGCACTTTACAGTAAAATCCCATGAAGCGCATTGAGACGTACTCCTGATGTGACGTGAAAGGCGCTGTTTCAAACACACGGACATACCATTATCTGTTGATTTCCACAACTCCTATTTAGTTGAAGGTTTGCAGTTCGAGTTAAAGATTCATTATGTGTCTGATTTACCCCATTTGCAATACAGCAAACCCAGGCAGGATTCCTTTCCTATTTGCACGTTACAGGTTTCCTACGTCAAATATGAAATCCACAGCGATTCGGGATGTGGGGAGAGAGCACCTGGTTTGCAAATGCTGTGATAATTTCTCCCACCACCTCCAGTCTGTTTATTGTACTCGTCCTTAGCTTACCTTACCCCAAGGGGCATCCCACAAACCGGGTGTTCCCCCCCCCCGCCCCCCAGAGCGCACCTCTGCCTGTCAGACACAGGAAGCCTTGGTTTCTGTCACATTCACATTACAGTGTGCACAACACACCTCAACATGTTTTTGGGCAGCCAGGTGCTTTGGATACTCTTAAGCATGGTGACGGGTTTCCGTATGTGTCAGAATTCCACACATCCCATGGAAATTCCCACCTTTGCGCTCACTCTCTCTTTACCCCCACCCCCCTTTTCCCTGGAGGGATGCATCCTGGTCACCTAATTTTGGAGTGTGCTAGGCACAGGTTGGCGAGAGTGGGGTGGGTTGGGGTGAGGGGGGGTTTCTGGCAAGCAGGGGCTCCCTCAACCTTCAATTGGAAAGGTTGTGTCTCAGAACAGATTGAAGGATTGCAATGTGGGCTGTGCATGGTGGTGTGATCTGAATTGATGCTGTTGATATTTTTTTTTCTATCTAGAGCAGGAATGGAACCTTTTAATTCCTTTTCTTTTGAAGATATTGTGATGAAAGTATTTTTCCAGAGTGCTGCTTCCAGGGATTAATCCACCTAGCTTTCGTTTGAATTTGTATTTGAACAAAAAAAAGACAATTTGGTCACTCAATCCACAACTATTGGTGTGGTACACTGTTGTTCACAATTGGCTGCCAAGTTTCATCCACAAAATACACAGTAAATCCACTATATTTTTGTTAGGTCAGGGTATCGAGGGATATGGGGCAAAGGTGGGTAATTGGAGTTGAGGTACAGACAGCCATGGTCTAATAGAATGGCGGAACAGATTCGAGGGGCTGATTGGCCTCCTCCTGTTCCTAAGCACTTTGAGTTTTAACGCAAATGCAAGGATTATTTTTATTATTATCATTATTATTTTACCACCCCCCCCACCCCAGGCCTGTCTTCGGTTCTCTATTAATCCCTCGTTGAAAAGAATGGGAATGATTGGAATCATGGGGTGTGGGGGGGTAAGATAGGATGGTAGAGAGAAGAACGAGAGGAATTAATTCAACTGCATAAAGCCATTTAGCAAACGGTGGCAGTTCCGTCAATTAATTAGAAGACAAGTGGGAAGTGAAACAAACAGAAGTAAATGGCCTGTGGAAGAGCAGAGACCACCTCACAGTATATTCTGTAAAGACATCATAAAGGGTTATGCTAAATGCATGGATTATTGGTAATAATCCCTTAAAAAAAAATAATTTGCTCATTCAATCCGCATCTGTTTGTAGGACACTGCTGTGCACAAAATATACAGTCAATTCACTTCACAGTATATTCTGTGAAGTGCTTTGAGACGTCTCAAAGACGTGATAAGGTATATATATATATCATGTGTGTGCGCGCGGGTTTGTCGTTGGGGGGGAAAAGCGGATATATCAAATGCAAGGATTTGTATTATTATAACTAACAACGACTGCACGGTGGATTCATCCCTGGTGTGAAATGAATGTCGAGTTCATCATTAATGACACTAATGCTCCCATCCCATGACTGGTTTCAGAGAAGTGTAACCTTAATACAAAACACAGCAGACATTCCATATGGAGGCAGAGAGAGAGTCATAAAGGTACACACTCGCAACATTCAGGTCCATCCTTACAATCTGCATGAACATCTCTATCCTTTACATTTTATATATATATATAAAAAAATTCTGTATTTGAACAAATTATTTGGTCATCTCATTTTTGTTAACGAGGATGGTTCGGGTTTCAGGTGAAGGGAGCAGATGGGTGAGGGAAGGACGGGGGTGTGGGGGGGAAGCAAAAAAAAAAACATAAAAAAAAACACCACAAAACTTCTGAAACAGAACTTGGTAAAAGGGCCCAGTATTGTTCAGCTGTGTGGTAGGGATTTGACGTTCTACTTGAGTCTTAAGTTTCTCTCTTGCTTCCGTTTGACAGGACTCTGCTCTGTACTGATCTCAGCCCCTTTCTATGTATGCTTGCCACACTTCTCTCTCTCTCTCTCCGCTTCCCCCCCCCCCCCCCCGACAAACCCGCGCGCCCACATGTTCACTATTTGCTATCAGTCCAGCAAGCTTTGCTTGGCTCTGCCCTTTGGTCAATCTGGTGGAGAAAGGCTCAGGTGTAAACTGGAGACTGGACAAATGGGTCTGGGGCACAGGTTTGTGTGCTGAAAGCTTAAAGTAAATGCAACTCTGGCTGAAACTTGGAACCAAACCCAACATGGAAGGTTAGTCAGTGAAGGGGTGAAATTCACTGCCGTGTTGAGTTCTCTTTCCTCAACTTGTGTCACCTTTTCTCCCTCACTCCCTCTACGCCAAGTAACACAATGGGAAAGAAAATTATTCCACGGATAATGGGAATCCATCGTCTTTTAGTCAAGGGATGGCACTGGGGACATAGATCCTTCCCACTTGACTCCCCCAAGCCAAAGCCTAACTGGGTGACGTGGTCCTAGTGGATAAGAGGCTTGCCAGGATGGTGCTTCCAATGGTTTTAGCTGGTTAAACTGCAGCGGTCCCCCCACCCACCGCCCGCAAGCCAACTCTGGGGTCCCCCAGAGCCTTGGCTCTTGCCAACCTGCACCTCATACTCTGGGATTGAGTAAGCAGAGTGAGAGAGAATGCTTTTTCTATTCCAGACACGGGGACATTTAGGGTTGAGGAGCTGTGTGTGACTGTAACAAAAATATGACTGTTCTCAACACAGGCCCCAAAGTGAGGGGAAAAGCATATTAATTTGGCCACAAGCATGCAATGGGGCTTTAAAGGCAAAACCTCCCATCAAGTTGAGCTTCCAAAACTCCCAGGCCTTGCTGAGAACTCCTCAGGGGTAGAGAGACCACATCAGAGTCATTTAACTCGTTACAAACAAACAGACATCCCCTTATGGTTAAACACAGTCTATACTGCCTGAAACCTCCCATCGCTCCTTCAGCAACTGTGGGTTGAATAGGGAGATCTGCATCTCCTTTTTTCTTTCTCGCACACAACAAGTAGCCAACACATTTGTCCTTTCACAGTAAATTCTGCGTCCCTTTTCACAGGGCCAGACATTGTCGATGTGTATTTCACAGCTGTTGTAAATATCCAACATCTTGGGGCAATGAGGCTAATGTCACCTCTCTCTCTTTCTCTCTCATCCCAATCCCAAGGCGAAGGTAAACCAAACTACATCCCGAGACTAAATCATTCTCTCTGCAAAGGGCTTAGAGGTTCCCTTCGCCTTTATTCGTCCAGTTCATGGCTTTGTCAAATAGTCCGATTTTAGTTGTGCTATGCTTAACATTGACCTGAATTTGTGACCTCGTCTACACTGCAGTTCAGCCCATTAAATGGAAAGTGATTTTTTTCCCCAATTCTCTCGAGTCTGCCAACCACAGACTAGCATCTCCATCAACCCATAGCTCGGCCCATCCAATCCCTCCGGGATTACAGAACATCATTGGGCTGAACGGTTTCATTCCGTGCAAGGTTCATCGGTTGAATCATAGAATCATACAGTGCGGGAGGCCATTCAGCCTATCGTGCTGGCTCTTTGAAAGAGCTAGCCGACTAGTCGCACTCCCCCGCCCTTACCCCATAGCCCTGCACATTTGCTTTTTTCAAGCATCAACCAATTCCCTTTTGAAAGCTATTATCGAATCTGCTTCCACGACCCTTTCAGGCAGTGCATTCCAGATCGCCTGGTTTCTCTCCTCTCTGGTTCTTTTGGCAATTATCCAACATCTGCGTCCTCTGTTTACCAAACCATATTCATGGGAGCGTGGCATTTAAGCAGAGAGATTTACAACAGCTTTGAAATACCGAAGCCTGAGTTGCACCATACAAAGGGAGGGGGGAGAGGGGAGATTTATTAGAATCTCGAGAGATCCTGCGGCTGAAATTCATGGCTTTCCCTTTTGTTCCAACGTGCAAATAGGTAGAATGTTCAAAGAGCCCGTACTATGCAGATACTGTCTCTGGACGCAAAACAGAACACTAACCAGCTACGTTCTTGGGCACTGCCACATCCTGTGCCCTCGAACGCAAACCTTACTCTTCTTTGCCAAGAAAACACACGCTTACGAGCCGCAGAGCTTAAGCTCAAGTACAAATGTTGCTACATCACCCTCCTCCGATTTAATTTAACTTAATTTAAAAGATTTTTATTTAAGGAAAGAAGGAAAAAGGCCTCTTGCTCTCCCACAGACACACACAGGGCGAATGGGTGTAGAGAACGCCCATCCTTCTATGTTAAGCAAGAGCAAGTGATCAACAGACAGAAAGTCCATCTTGAGAGAGTAAGAGAGAGACGGGAGGAGAAGGGATAACAAGAGACTAACCTGGTCTCACTGTAGTATCAGGTGTGACTTTTGCACGTCTGACTGCAACAACACATTACATTTACACAGCACCTTTCACGTCTGGAGGGCGTCCCAAGGCGCTGGCCAGTCAGGGATTGGACCTGAGCAGGGGGTTGGGATCAGGAGGGTGACCCAAGGTGCGGTCGAAGAAGAGGCGTGCCTTGAAGGAAGCAAGGGAGGGAGCGAGGCGAAGGTACTGTGGGATGGAGTTCCAAAGGGTGAGGGCAGAGGCTGAAGGCCTCACGGGAAAAACTGAGGGAAAAGGGATTGGATCGAGGCTAACAAAGGACCCACAGATGAGAAAGTTAGGATCGTTTCCAAAAGGGTAAATTTAAACAAATATATTGATTATTATTACACATTTGCATGAGTGAAATCGAGAAATACTCGCCCCGGTTTATGATTTTTTTTCCATTGGAGGGGGGGGGGGAAGAGATGTTAAATTAAGCAAAATGACCATCGGAAATGTCTGACACAAAATGCATGATGAAAAATAGCTCAAAAGCTACATTGCAGTTGACATGGAAGTGTACATTTATGCATGTCCGCCCTCCTACTCTATCCTTTGAGCATTCTACCTAATTATAGAACTGACCCTTTCACCAGCACGACTGCATTGCAAGAGACGTCACTGAATGGGGAATAATAATAATTTAGCCGCTCAATCCACCAACTGTTTGTGGGACACTGCTGTGCGCAATCGGCTGCCGCGTTTCGCCCACAAAAATGTAGTAAATTCACTTTACAGTATATTCTGTGAAGCGCTTTGAGACGTCTCAAAGACATGATAAGGCGCTGTATCAAATCAAGGATTATTATTATAATTTGTCCGTTTGCAACTCAAGCTGCTGCCAAACACCAGTTCTGAGCAATTATTCCCGTTCTCAGACGATAGTACCAAAAAAAAAAAAGCTTTCGGAAAAGAAGTGAACGTCGATAAGAGATTTACTGTACGAATGCTGAGCTGGTGAAAGGGTGGAAAAAGCTGATTTTTATATTTATTTTATTTTCATGCACCCAAAGCTGCAGTATCCCCTTTCTGTTCCATCCTGTGTTCTCAGTGGTTGGGTGGTGGGGGGCTGGGAGAGGTAGGGGAAAATCCTCAAAGCTTTCCACTGCACTTCATCTCTTCTCCCACCTTCCCACCATCTCTCCTCCTCACCCCAACTCCCTTCCCCCACTCTCTTCGTAAAAGAGAAAGCTCTTTGCAAATGCCAGGGAAAACCAAGGCAATCCAGAGATCGCATTATTTCATGCATGACCATTATTTTTTCAATTCGCTGACGCTAAATCAATTGGAGACGCCTCGACGGCGTGATTAGGCGCTATATCAAATGCAAGGATTATTATCATTATTATTTATTATCAATTGCTGCAATGTTGGATTCCTCAGTTAACAATTAACAGAAGAAAGGGAGAGACTTGCCAAGAAATTGGATAGATTGCTTTTTTTGTTGGCCTGGATAATTCCTTTATATTTTTAATGGGACTTTATACGACGTACTCTTGCCCTTGATATTCTTGTTCCTCCCCCTCCAACCTCAACGCCAGCCTGCAAATTGGTTCCACGGCAGGATATTACTGTGTGTAAATTGACTGCCGCGTTTCACCCACAAAATACAGTCACTCCACTTGATGGTAAAAAGCTCTTTGGGACGTCCTCCCGGCGTGAAAGGCGCTGTACCAAATGCAAGGGTTAGAGACATATCCGAACCACAACCTAGACAGACTGACCAGGAAGGGATACTGCAGCTTATTCTGCTCTTAAGTCATACGCATTTGCATTCTTTCAGGAATTCGAAGACTTTTTATATATATATATATGATGATTAAAAAAAATGTCCGTTAATATGCAGCGAACTCCCCTCGAGACATTAATTAGTCTTTTAAAGGATGATTGTAATGAGCTGACCTGGACCTGGCTTTGGGAGAAACTACGACATGTGTAAACCAGTCACCATTTCTTTTTTTTCTCCTCTTTCTCTCTCTCTCTCTCTCTATCTCTCTCTCTCATATTGGTCCGTTCAGAAAAGAAAATCAAGTTCCAGTGTTCAATTAATGGTGAGGACCCTTTTCAAATTTCAACTTCACTTCACATTAATGTTATTTTATTCTCTTTTCTCTCCCCCTCCCTGCCTCGCTCTCTCCGTCCCTCCCTCCATCCCTCTCTTCTCTGCCAGGACACGACACAAGCGATCGATCCCTTGTGTATTTCCAGGTTCCTACTTTTTCATCCCCTTGTTTTTGAGTACAAATAACTCTCTTTGCATGTGGCAGAGTTAAGAGTAAATGTCAAAACTAATCAAAACACCTCGTTTCCTCCCTTCCCCCCCTCTCTTTTTCTTTTCTCGCTCCCGTTTGCTTTTACGATGCAAGGTTCCAAAAGTGCTTTACAGATCGTCGTCAGAGATCAGCATTGATCGACCAATAATACCAATTTCAATCGATTACATTTAACTACATTTTACCCACAAAATACCGTCAATTCACTTTACAGTATATCCTGTGAAGTGCTTTGGGACGCGATAAGGCGCTTATATCAAATGCAAGGATTATTATTATTATGGTCAATGCGCTGAGATGACTTGTGTCGGTGTAATTTGCCTTTTGTTAATATCTCGTGTGGACGTGGAATAGAAAAGAATTTGCAATTTGAACAAAGCTGCTCAATGATCGATCGTTTTCCTTCGGTTGAAAACTATTTACTTTTAGGGCAAAACAAGTATTGAAAGAGTGCTGACATTTCCTCCTCCCTCTATTAGGTTAAGCGACTACAGATTTGCCAAACGCCCTCAAAGCTTGGCTGAGATATAGTCTTAAAACGTAAACGGGTGAAAGGTGGGAAAAGGGCAGGTCAATGGAATTGAAAAGGATTGCTCTTGAGGGAGTCGACACAGTCATGATGGGCTGAATGGCCTCCTCCTGAGCTGTAAATTACTGTGGTTCTGATCATTCCTCTACAATCAGAGCTCTGTTCTTCCTATGCAATTGTGTCAAACGGGTAGCTTCGGGCTTTGTATTCCAGAGGAATCGTGATGCGTATCAGAGGGAAAGAGGGGGATACAGGAGGGACTTTTGTCTCTCTCACCACCTCCCACCCCTGGAAATTTCTTTCCAAATCCCTACATAAATGCAAGTTAATAATTTGGTCACTCAATCCACAACTGTTTGTGCGACGCTGCTGTGCGCAATTGGCTGCCGCGTTTCGCCCACAATATATGCAGTTAATTCACTTCAGTCCGTTCTGCGAAGCGCTTTGAGATGTCTCGGAGATGCGATAAAGCGCTCTATCAAATGCAAGGATTATTATTATGCGCTCTGGGACGCTACCCTGTGTGAGGGACTCTACATAAATGTAAGTTGCTGTTGACGTAGTTGAGGAAGTTAGTAGTTGCATGATACCCGCTGGTGCGTCAGTGCTGTCTTCTGCAAAGTCGCTGGGGTTAGTTTTAATCGAACAAGCGCCTTTGAACACAGCGCTTCTCATTAGTAACCAGGGTCCGTCACGCACTGGCGTATGCTGGGCTGTAGGGGGAGCTCACACGCAGCTCTCTGCAAAATGAACTGTACTGCTGTCCGGGCAATTATTACTGCCTTTAAGAGTGTGAAAGGATTCATTAAGATGGCCTTTTAATAGGTTGTTTTTCACTTTTTCTGAGTCCCACAAGATAAGAGGCATTGATGTAGAGTAGCCGTTAGCAGATCTAACAGGGAGTTCAGGAGGAACTTCACTCAGAGGGCGATGAGAACGTGGAACTCACTGCCCAAAGCGGTGGTTGAAGCAAAAGCCAAATAACGCATCAACGTATTTAAAGAGTAAACTTGATGCGTACGTGAGGGAAAGGCGAATAGAGGGGAGGATCAGAAGGGGGTGGAGGCAGGTTCGTTTGGAGTATGAACCCCGGTATGGACTAGGTGGGATGAACAACCCTACCCGTTCGGTGTAGTTCTACTACACCGGAGAAAAGCAAAGGAGAGGAAAGTTCAGCAGCAATTTCATTTTCAATGCCCGAAACAAAAGTAAGTTACAAAAAAAGACACAGCCTGCGATGGAAGGGGGGGTAAATTCAGAACAGTTCTGTCGAAACACTACTTCAGTGAATAGTAGAGAGACGGCGGAAGCTTGATTCTCTCAAAAACAAATTAGATAGATTTATGTAAGGAAATAATATCTCGGGATATAATATATAGTTTGGGGCATACCATGTGCATGCGACTGCCAGGATGGTAGAAGGCCAACTGATGTGAGTGCAAGGATGGAGGTTGGTGTGTGGGAAGAGGACAGTTACTAGAAGGGTGCGCGTGTGTGTGTGTGTGTGCGCGCGCGCGCGTCACTCACTTGTGATCTTATTCCGATTTCTGGGGGCTTTAAAAGGAAATTGAACTGTCTGGTGTGCTGCCTTTTGGTTTGGGGTACGACTTTTGCTGTGCACAGTCACGCGCCCCCGTTATCACTGGTCCCCAAACCGCAGCTCAGAACCCTATTGCTATGACCCGCTACCGAGGCATGGAGGCTGGTCATGTCTTGCTCGCTCGCTCGCTCAGCAATGGCCTAACGTTGGCTTTCAGTGAACCCGCTGCAGCTTCACATCTGCAAAGCGACAGAGAGAGAGAGAGAGAGATTCCCTGTTGCCTGCTCTCTCTGACGTTTGTGTATTTTCCCCACAAAATATATGGGCAATTCACTTGACAGTACGTGCTGTGAAGCGCTTTGAGACATCTCGCAGACTTGACAAGGTGCTGTATCAAATGCAAGCATTATTATTATTTGCTTTGCAGACTAACTAACACCCAGCGTTGCATTATGACAAGCACGTTTCTACTGCAGACAGTTCGATCACTTTGAGCGCAGCTTCGTTGCTCTCCCCTTTGCGTGGAGCTGGCAGTGTGGGTGGGTGTCGGGGAGGGGGGGGGGGGGGAGTGGGGGAGAGGTTGGGGAGAAGAGGAAAGGAGGGAGAGGGGTGACGGGAGGTGGGATGGAGCGCGCTAAGGCTTTAAATTAAACATTGTGTCCCCTCTGTTGTTTTCTGCACAGCCTCAGACAAACAGCACCAAAAACAACGTAGTAACCAGTCCTAAAGGAAACATTCCCTGCCCTGCTCTGGTACAGCCTCTCTTTATTATTACTACAGTCTTTCTCGCTCGTAAACCATGGCTGCTTTTTTTTCCCCCCCACACTGACGCCTGAATGCCCACCATCCAGTTTTCAAAACCCCTTCGAGACCATTTGCGTGGGCGGGCGGGCGGCGGGCGGGCGAGTGGGGAAGAGAAAAAACAAATGGCTTCTTCCACCTCAAAATGAAATTAAAATTTATTTTAGCTTTGTTTAGTGTTGAATTAACGACACTTTGAGGGAGGTGGGGGAGGGGGAAAGAAGGCTGGGGGATAGGGGGCGCTTACTCTATTTTTTTGACTCCCCAAAGGGCGACGAGAAGAGGGCGTTAGTGTAACCAGCAGGTCAGGTTGATGGAAGCAAACCCGTTAACGACTGTGGTACGTCCACTGATAAACGTGGACGCTTGATTTAACTTGGGGAGTTGTGAAAAAAGTTTAGTCGGATTTTTTTTTGGGGGGGGGGGGGGGGGGAGAAAAAAAGGAGTACATGGATTACAAATATTCGGCTTAGTATCGTTTCCCAAGGGGTGTTTCTTGGCATCGCTGTGTGGAGCGAGCATCCCAGAGCCATGTTTTACGAACATTTTTTTCCCTGTTTGTGTTTGTCTCGTGTATCTCACTGGCTTTCTCTCCCTGCTGTGTTCATTCGGGGTAGTCCCCTGGACTGTCAACGAGAGAGGACGTTTTAAGGTCTGAAAATGCACAAATACATCCAAATGCTCCAGACTGAGGTGGCTAAATATTTGTTAGGGTGTCAAGAGCTATGGGGCAAAGGCGGGTAACTGGAGTTGAGGTACAGATCAGCCATGGACTAATAGAATGGCGGAATAGGCTCGCGGGGCTGAATGGCCTCCTCCCGTTCCCATGTTATTACCAGACAACAAAAACCTTTCTCTCCTCCCTGTGTTCACAGTCCACGGGCACCCCAAAGCTGACGGTTAATTGCTTCTGTGTCTTTCCAGCCTCACAAACCAGGTCGAACTTTTGGGTAACGTCTCGGAAAGCGTTGAGCACCCCAGCACCCTCCGATCCCTCTTAATCCTCATTCATCATTTGTCCTAAAGAATTCTCTCCCGTGCTAACACTGCCTTGGTAACGATCACCCACTGAATGACAGCTGTCTCGTTGCGTGAATTTACCATCACAAACATCTTCCCGCACTTCCAGGGGGTAAAAGTCACCTTACTCATTTTATTTTTTACAGCAGATTCTTTTCCCCCCCGTCAACACATTTGACTGCCCTCAAAGCAGCTGATGGTAAATCGGGATTAAGGCTAGGACTTCGCACCCAAGTCTCTCAGCTTTATGGTTGCGTTTGGTTTCTTTGCAGCGTTATTTGCGGGGGAGGTGAGGGGGGGGGGGTGGGGGGGTGGGTAGGCAACTGTACATTAAATGGCTTTCCCGTCGCAAAAACTCGACGGGATTAGATTTCCACGTTAGAACTGACGGGAGCAATTTTGCATCGAAATTGGCGTCGGCAATTTCCTCGACGCGGTGTCAGAGCCCGAGAATACGGTCCATGTGTGACCGACTTGGTCGCACGATTAATTCGATCCCATTTGTAACCCGCGTGGCTAATTGAAAGAAAAAAAAATGACCCTCTCCCCACCACCATAAACATCTAACCAACCACATTTTTATTGATCCCCGCAAACCACCCGCAGCATTTACACACGCGGACACATCTCTCTCTCTCTCCCCTCAAATCCAGTCGCCATCGTTTTCCATTTCTAACCATATTCAAAGACTCTTTATCTTGGTACAGAAAATATACGCATTTGGGTGCTGTATTTCATTCTTTTTCTCTCTCTTTCTCCGTCTCTCCTCCAACCCCCCCCTCCCCAAAACCTGACTGTCTCTCTGTTTTTTTTGGTTTAACACTTTTTTTTTTCTCTCCACACTAAAAATTTCCCTTTCTATATCTGCTTTTCTACTCTCTTTAGGAGCCACAAACTACTGTCATCCATAACCCTGTGGATGGGATAAAGGTACCACCTCTGTGTGTGCTGTAGTCTAGTCTTTTCCTGCTTTGCAGATTTTATGTTGTCACTTTGAGGCACTTTTCTATTGTGAAAATTGTACAATTGTGAAATCCTGTAGTGTATTGGTTAGAGCACTTGTCTCGCAAGCGAGTGGATTCCCAGGCAGTGCGAAACGTTGGGCAAGTTTCTTTACTCCACACGCCTCTGTCTACCAAGCAGTAAGTAGGAACCCGGTTGTTAGTCGATTGGCAGGTCGCTTTCCAGGCTAATAATCCTCTAATTTTTTAAAAAATAATAATAATTTGGTCACTCAATCAAGAACTGTTTGTGGGACACTGCTGTATACAATTGGCTGCTGTATTTCACCCACAAAATACAGTCACTCCATTTTACAGTATATTCTGTGAAGCATTTGATATAGCACCTTATCAACAACGCGATAAGGTGCTAATAAGGATTATTATTATTATTTTCTTTAAGGTAATAACCAGACACAAAATGATCTTTGCACCTATAACAAAAAGAGATAATAAAATAGGGTGCTCATGCTTCAGACTTTAAAACCACCAGCAGATAAGCCAAGCCGTGAAGGCAGGAGTTGTGCGATTGAAACACGACAGTGTCACTGAAACACAACACAAATAATGCCTTGTGGTTCCACTAAAGAATGCTCATTACACGAGTAAGCGTAGTGCACTGTTTGACTGCTCGGTATCTTAACCAGTGTAAAGAGGCACCGTTGTGAGAGGAAGGGTAAGGTCCAGTCTCGACGACGTGATAAGGCGCTATAACAAATGCAAGGATTATTATTATTTATAGTGACGGGTTGAAACAGCTCAGCTGCCTGTAGGAACAGTGGTAGACGCCTTTGTAAGCACAGCTCATACCTGCAAAGTCAGTCAGTCATCTCTTAGTTAGCAATGTTCTGGACACAGAGTTCAAGACTACAAGCGTAGGTAGCCAGAGTACACACGGACTCTTCGAAATGTAAGAATATATGTTATATTAAAAAAATCACTGGAAATGTCATTCTAACAAACAACGCAAGTAATTTGGTCTGGTAAGCAGGATCTCGGCGAATAAGAATCAGCACGATTTTGAAATAATCTATACCTGGCTCCTTTCTTTTACTCCATTTCCTTCATCTCACTTTCCTCTTCCCCGTTTCCCTCAGTTTTTCCAACTTTGTGAGTTTTCACACAACCGTCTGGGGTGGCACTTAAAATTCCGTGTCAACGTAAAGAAAAAAAATCCCCAGAATACATTTAAAATTGCCCTGACGCTTCCAGCGTTGCAAATAACACTGGCTCTGTTTCCTTCTTAGGAATCTTCGGATAGCAGTAACACAACGATCGAAGATGAAGATGTTAAAGGTAAGGAACAGGTTGAGAAGTGGAGCCCTGTAGCGTATTGGTCAGAGCACTCGCTTCGCAAGTGAGAAGACCTGGGTTTCATTCCCAGGCGGGGCAAAACATTGGGCAAGTTTCCTTACTCCACACGCACGCCTCTGTTTATTTAACCGTAAGTAGGAACCCCGGTTGTTAGTCGATTGGTGGATCGCTTTTCCGGGGGTATTAACCTGCCTGTATTCATTTCATTCAGCATGTAGAACAGTGTGTTAGGAAAATCAGAGAGAAGGAAGGGCAAAAAGAGGAAATGTAGAAATCTCCTTCCAAGGTTTTAGTCTTAAGGGTCTCCAGCACAAGCCTGTGTACAGCGGCAGCGCACTGCAGAGCGAGTTGGCTTCATGGCTCTTTGCGGGACGTTGCTGTGCGCAAATTGACTGCTGCATTCGCCCACAAAATACAGTCACTGCACTCTAGAGAACATCCCGTGAAGCGCTTTGAAACATTTTGAAGTACAATACGGAGCTAATATCAAATGCAAGGATTTTGATAACAATGATAATCCTTGCACTTGATATAGCGCCTTATCACGTCTTTGAGACGACTCAAAGCGCTTCACAGGATAAACTGTAAAGTGAATTGTCTGTGTATTTTGTGGGCAAAACAGATTATTATTATGAATATTATCATTTAAAGCATTTTAAGTTCTGAACTGGTGGATGAGATATTTTATTTCGGTGAACTAAACGCTTTGGTTGAGTTTTAAACTGGTTATGTGAAGCCCACTTGTTGGCTGAAGTTTAGATAGGATTCTCTTGTTTGGGTGAAGTAAGTGGATTTTGCATTTGATTATTCACTCAGTGACGAACAAAATCTATGTTAATCACATATTGGGCTGAATGGCCTCCTCCTGTTCCTTATGTTCCTTTATAGTTTGTTAACAGATCTGGTTGCACTGCTAAATTAGTACAGTATTAATGAGAAATATACAGAGGTACAGACTGCTTTGACGTTGTTCAGCGCTGCATTTATTCTGAATGTTTTTACGATTACTTTCTGTTCAGTAGTTTTGCGCAAGTTTGGACTATATAACTTTTGAGTTGCCTCTTGTATCGACTAGAGAGTTAACCGGAGTCCTGTAGTCCAGTGGTTAGAGCACTCGCCTCGCCGGCGAGAGGACCAGGGTTCATTTCCCGGGCAGGGTGAAACCTTAAGCAAGATTCCTTACTTCGCACACGTGTCCCATTTCCAAACACCCCTGCGTGCAAGCGAGAAAATCAAGGCTGCCCCACCCACTTGTTAAAACAGTCGAGTGAAGCAAATTACTGTGGTGCACGTCCAGGTCTTTGTGTTTGACTTATTACCGTCGTTACTTTAGGGTTGAAATTTGCTTGTTGACTGTATTTTATGTCGATTTCATGACAGCAAACCCATAATTTCACCATAGCGATTGCAGGAAACTGTGTGACAGTGACTCGGCCTTTTGTCTCTCTGAAATGTGACCCATAATTAGTCTATGGTACCGTCAATTGTGTGATTATGCATTCCTCATCCTGACCCCTTTCATGTTCCACTTCTCCCCCCGTCTTCTCCTTCTCCGCTCCACATACCCGTTTTGTTTCAGCGTTGCAATGTCTATTGTGTGTTAAATGCAACCTGTCACTTTAAATGCCATTTTATCTGAGCTGCGAGAGTCGGTTCAGAGGCCGATGACCGACGCTCGCCCAGTGGGGATAACACTGAGGACAACAGCAGAGGCGAACTCCGCTCGTTTCCCCGATGCTCTGTCGTCCTCACTCAGCCCAGTGCAAGTCACTGCTTTCAGTAGAGACCACGTTGCGTTGGTCGTCAGCATCTCAGCCGTTCTCCGTTTTACTGAGATTAAAATTTCGCACTTGTGAATGGCGGCACAAATTGGCTATCAATCAATTCCGTTCAACGGAAACCCCATCAAAAGCCAACATCACGCACAAAAAAAATACAGCTCCTGAACCCATTTTACCCCATCGTTTTCACAACTCCGGACTTTCAAAGTCTTGTCTTATTGATTTATTAACTTGCACGTGTATTGGCGGATTGCTTTCCGGGGGTAATAATCCTTTCAAAGAAAATGATAATAATTTAGTCACTCAATCCATGATTGTTTGGGGGACCACTGCTGCGTGCAATTGGCTGCCGCATTTCACCCATAAAATCCACTTTACAGTATATTCTGTGATGCGCTTTAAGACGTCTCAACGACGTGATGTAAAATACAAGGATTATTATTATTATTATAATTGGCACATGTGCACAACCGGTTTTCACTTTCACCCTTTTTTGAATAAGCAAAACCGATCTTGATAAAATTTAGCTTTGTGGAAGGTGTCGATCGTATCATTGCCTTTCCTCCCCCCCCCACCCCACCCTCTCCTCTCCCCACCTTGTGGTGTTTATCCATCATTCATCCTGTTTACTGTGTAACATGCTCTGTGTGTTTGTTTCCATCGTCCCTTTGCATGCTGCTTCCAGCCAAGGGCGCTGAGAGCAGTGCTGTAAGGAACCAGTCAGGCGAGACTGCCCACCCTCCACCTCCTGTACTCTGTAAGTCGTCTGGGCATGCTGTGTGTTATTGCATTTCACGTGACTGCCTGTGTGCGTGTGTGTTTTTCAAGTCGTAGGAAGTGGCCATTCATAAAAAAAAAATGATCACACAGCTGTGTTGCTGTTATTACCTGCGGGCACAATTGGCTGCCCCGTGTCGCCCACAAAAATACACCGCCAATTCACTTTGCAAGGTATTCTGCGAAGCGCTTTGAGACGTTTCAACAACGCGATAAAGTGCTACATCAAATGCAAGGAATATTATTATGAGCGAGTTGTCTGAACAACCCTGGAGTTTGTACAATCCACATCTTGTAGCTCGTATTTCTCTGTTGCCTTTCCCCCCAACAAACTGAAAAGTGTGAGAAAACTATAACGTAATGCTCTGCCACTAAAGTGTAAGTGTCAGATGCACGGAAATAAATTTTTCCCATCAACGCTTTGCAACGAGGTACGAGAGGAAAAGAGCGCCTAACATAATAAAACTAATACACAGAAATCAGATTGGTTAAATCCCATAACATAGACTGAATAAGATAAATTGCTTCTCAATAAAAGTGACTACATTTTTGTGACAGGCATTTTGGAAAAATATTGATCTCCCCACTGAAACCTTTTAATTCTGAATTTAAAAAAAATCCACCATCTCTGTGTAGATTTCAAGTTAAATATTTAACCAGCACAATACAAAATGGGAAAAGAAAAGAGATGTGAGCAAAAAGGTCAAATCTGGCACGTCAGTTAGAAAATAAAGACAACAACACCAACAAGTTACATTTGATAGCGCCTTTCACGTTGGGAGGACGTCCCAAGGTGCTGGACTGTCAAAAGATGTGCAACCGAACTGGAAGTTGGGATTAGGAGGGATGGAGGACGGTAAATTAAATAAAGCAATGAAGTTACCTCCAATTTAACTTAAAATTGTAGAAATTAAAAAAACATTTTGAAAGTTGCAGGTATTACGAGGCATTCGAATGTATCCGGGCTCACTTCCAGTCAGGCAGGTCAATAGATTTGAATACATTTGTACTGTATTTACAAGTTAAGCTCAGAATAGAGTAATTTGCAGGATTTCTTAACCGCAATTCTTTGATTGCATTACCAGGAGGAGTGAGCCACATCCTCACCTAATGAATCCCATTTAGAAATACCGCAAACTAAAGGAAATCCTAGAAATGTACAGCGCAGCAGGAGGCCATTCAACCAACTACTCCCGCTCCCCCGCTCTTACCCCATAGCCCCGCACATTTTTCCCTTTCAAGTACCTATCCAATTAACTTTTGAAGGCAACTATTGAATCTGCTCCACCACCCTTTCAGGCCAGTGCATTCCAGATCGTAACAACTCTCTGGGTTAAAAACAATTCTCGTCTCCCCTCTGGTCGTAAAGAAAAGGATCTCTTCGCAACGGTAAAGTAGGGCGAGGGATTTGTGCAAAAATAATGGTAGAAATTGGGCCAAGGTAACACGATAATGTAAAGCCAACACCGCAACACAAAGCTGCAATCACAGTGCCTCCCAGCAGTTACCGTTAAGATGAAATATCCAGTTTGTGTGATTACAATGCAGAGGATTTATACTGTTATGAATGGCCTAAGCTTACCAATTGCATGCTGTTCAGCTTTAAACGCATTCCGCTTGTACCATTTTGACTGTTTTCCACGGATAAACTGCTGTCACTCTGAGCTACCGCATTCCATGTTTGAAGCTGCAATGCCCACAATGTTACTGTTGTTGAAGTCTAATTGTGGAGATTTGGCAAAAGGTGGGGTGGTATTAGAATTAATTCCGTACCTGCCGATCTTTGCTGGAAACACCAGCTGTTCTCATACTCAAGTATTCCCAGACTAGAAATTATTTCTGTTGCAAAGGAATTTGTTACGTAAGACAATACGTTTGCAATAAACAGGCACAAAGCGAGATTCCTCCTTTCTGTCCCATCCCGTTCAAAGCTATACGTGTGTGTGTGTGTGTCTGTGGGGTGGTGTTCTAATGCAGATGTTTTCACTGGCTCTGCTTTTTATTTTATTGAGAGTGGTCAGAAAAACTCTTCCCAATATAGCAAACTCTCACCTCGCATTAGTAATGATCTTAGACAGTAATTGGCCGATCTCACTTTAGAGGGAACCACAGCTCCTCTGCGACCTGCTAACTCCATACTCCTGTTCGCTCCCTCTGCTTGGCAAGCTCTGGCCCCTGCCTCACTATCAGCAGACGGGCCTTCAGCCTTTCTACCCCCACCCTCTGGATCTCCATCCCAAAGTCCTTTCGCCTCGCCCCCCCCCCCCCCCTCTCCCTTGCCTCCTTCAAGGCCGGTTTCCCGCGCCTTCGGTCACCCTCTCTGCCCTCCACTCCATGTGAAAGGTGCTGTGTAAATGTCATTTGTTGTTTTTGTTGTTGTCACCCAAATTACCAAATGTGGCAGTGCTGAATTGTGATGAGGAAAGGGAACCCTGGTTGATTTTTCCTCTCCAGAGCCTAAGAACCTTTATAGCAATGAGTGCACATTGAATGTGAGATCAGCTGAGCGGGCACTGACTAAGTATCTATTTTTAACTGCAGGATAACCAAAAATACAGGCTTATGCAGCTTCAAAACCACGCAAACGCAGCATTCATTTTCATTTGAAACAGATAAAATCACACACATACGTGATCTCAAACATCTCCCAAGCTTCCTATAGGTTTAAGAGCTCATTGAATAGATGACACAAATTGTCGCCCTTTTTTTATTTCTCAACTCGTACTTTAAAACTAGTTTTTAAAAATAAATTTAAATAATTTTTTAAAAATTATAATTTGGTCACTCAATCCACGACTGTTTGTGGGACACTGCCTTGCTTAACTGGCTGCTGCCGTACGCCCACAAAATATACAGTCAATTCACATTACAGTATATTCTGCAAAGTGCTTTGAGACGTCTCAACGGCGTGATAAGGCGCTATATCAAATGTAAGGATTATTATTCTAAAGCAAAATTAAACTAAGTTCCAGGAAACTAGAATTTTAAAAAGCTTTTCAGTTATCCATCTGTTCGAGGGAATGTGGTGTGATTTTGATTGTTGATGTTTCAGAATGTGTTTAGTCTGTTTCACATCAAGGCTGCCATCAAATGTGCTTGAATCATCACTGGCGTTGGCACAAATATTGGGGGCAGCTAACTGGTTCTATTGTGGAGCCATTATTCCAACAATCATTGAATCATATCATCTTACAGGACGGAAGGAGACCACTTGGCCTATCACGCCTGTGCCAGCCCTTTGAAAGAGCGATCCAATTAGTCCCATTCCCCCGCTCTTACCCCATAGCCTTGCAATTTTTCCTTTTGAAGTGTATGTATACACGATTCCCTTTCAAAAGTTATGGGACCCAAATGCCAAATACCAGCAGCTCAGCATTGTCTATCCACTGGCTAAAGGAGTAACACATAGGTGCCAGTCAATTATAGAATTTATACAGTGAGAATGCTAGATAAATCATGGATTTAAGATATCCTACTTCTGTTTTGGGCCAAAAATATTCACAGTTTTACTGACAGACCACAAGTGGTCTCAGCTGGTTTTATTGTGTGAAGCGTTTCCTATATGTAATCCACGACTGTTTGTGGGCAATCGGCTGCTGCATTTCACCCACAAAATATACAGTCAATTCACTTTACAGTATATTCTGTGAACTGCATTGAGACGTGTCAACAACGTGATAAGACACTATATCAAATGCAGGGATTATTATTATATTTTATCTCCATGCTTCACCAAGTGACAGTATCTCATTCCTAAGAGGATTTTTGTACTGAAAGGATCATTTAGTTCACTTGAAGTACATTCTATAATCACACAAACTACGTTGATATACGTGGTAAAGAAACTCGATATGGTTTCAATGTCTATCTTTCATTAGCTGTTTGGTTCTGATGTTTTTCCTGAGTGTGTATCAGTTAGAGAATAACGGCAGGCAATGCTGCCGGTTGTATAGAATGACTGACGCGGCTTGTACTAATTGTTGCTCCTGCACTTTCCTCAGCTCCTAATTATCCTCCTACCTTGTATTTGTGTGTTGTCTCGCTCTTGCAGTAGTCTAGCACTGTGCTGTCGTACTGGCTGACAACCCAGGTGAAAGCCAGCTCTTCTTAAAAACACTAAAATATTATTTTCCTTAATAATTAAGCAGTGACCTGGGGCCAGGCTGCTGCAAGCAGCACTTTAGCACTGATCTCATCCTGAAGGATGGGTTACCCGGCATATTTCGCTGTGAAACCCAGTGTAAAACATGTTCAAGATGTGCGATAGGAAAGGATTGGCTGCTGGCGCTATCTTAGGGAGGCAGTTCATTACAGCAGAGGGGACATTTGCCTGTATTATCAAATCGCATTGCTGCAGTATAAATATCGACAATGTGAAATGATTTGGGCTGCCATTCAAAAGCGATTTCGCCTCATTTCACCTCCAGGAACATTGCTTGGTTTGTGTCAGGGGTTGACGAGGTTTTGGGCTGTTCATTCTACTCTGTCTTCATCTTCCATCCTCAGCCACAAGGTTCACAGATGTTCTAAGCAGTGTGCGGAGGGGGTCTGGGCCCTACCCTGAGCACGAGGCAGCCCAGACTGCCACCCCACCCCCCCAGATGCTCCCCCTCACTCCCTCAGCCATGCATAGTAAGTAAGCACCATTCAGTGTGTGGTGAAAAGCAGAGCATGCTGTGTGCACATTATCTGAGACCACATTCACACACACTCCCAAACGTCGATCTTGCTTCCTAATATCCTCAAGGGATGGGTTGGGGGAGGTGAGCAGGGTCTCCTTGGAGCTGAACCGTTCTGTTTGGCAAAAGAATGTCAGAGCCCACCCTCCAGTCCGGTTCGCAGTATTCCGGGGCACTGCTGATGACAGCCCAGCTCGGCCCGGCTCATCAGCAGAACTTGGAAGGGCAGACCAGCCACTGGGGGCTGGGAATCCTCCCACTCGGTTCCCGTTAACCCCGCAAGCCAAAGCCCTAACGGGTAGGCTGTTCCTAGCTGGACAAGCAGCGGGAAAGCTTGCCAGATAGCGATATCGATGGCAAGCTATGCAGTTTTAGCTGGTTAGACTCCAGCAGTTACCCCAACACAAACTTTTACTTCCCACCTGTTCCTCTTATTCTGAGTCCAGATATAGACAGTTAAATCCAGACATTTACTGCTAAAAAAAACAACCTCCCTTTCAATGAATGAGATGTTCTAGGAAACCTTTCTAGTACAAACATCCACAATTTACAATATACAATGCATGAAGCTGCGCATATAATAAGTAAAACCAACAACGTCCATCCCTGTTTCTGGGGCTCCAAGATGCAGTGTGTAAAATGTCTCGAGTCCATTTGTGTGTGAAGGTTACTTGCCTTAGATTTCTCTAACTAAGCTTATACTAAGCTTGTGCATTCTGACAACATGTCTTCCATCTTACATCCTCAGCTGCAAAGTTCACAGATGTGTTAAAGAGTGTGCGCAGAGGGTCAGGACCTTTTCCTGAACCGGAGAGTGGGCAGTCTGTACAGGCACCTCCTCTCCCTCCCTCCACCTCCACCCATTGTAAGTAAGCAGTGCCCCTGTGTGAGGCTGCTCAGTGCAGAGCACAATATCTGCTTACAGCATGCGAGAGGCATGTGCTTTTTCTTGAATGGCAGTGCAGAAGGTGTGGAGTCTGTGACAACCGGATGATTTCACTAACCCTGTCTATTCGCAAATACTTTGCCCACAAAATACACAGTCACTGCACTTTACAGTGTATTCTGTGAAGCGCTTTTAAGACGTCTCAGCAACATGATGAGGCACTATATCAAATGCCAGGATTATTATTGTTATCTCAGCAATGAGGGAAACTGCAGGGATCTTGTGGGTGTTTGTTTAACCTTATTCTCAATCGAAAATTGACCCGTTTCATGTCGTAGTTTCATGATGCAGTAGACTAATGTTTTACTACAGCTCTACATGCATTTCTTTGCAGAAATCACAGCAGCAATGTTAGGTGAAGATACAAACTCTCCTCCAAATTAGACAATTGTCTCATGTTACTGGGAGAGGCTGAGAGCTGAAATGTATTCATAAGCTGAACGCGTGACAGCAAAGAGTAAAATGTTAATCCTTTTTAAAAATGAGTATTCCTTGAAAATCGCTGATTGATTACAGACAGGATTATAGGTCCAGCATAAAGGAGTATGGCACAGACATTTTATACAAACAAGAGTATCCTGTTATGAATTCACTGTAGATTTTACATTAATCTACTTCAAACTTGCATCGAGTGAGAGGGCAATTTCTGTATTCATGCTGCCATGTTTGGGTAATGATTTGCAAAGAAGATATTTGATGGTGCACGTAGTACTTTGAATTTTCAGGCTCTTGTGTTCCCTTTTTATCGCAGCAGCTCAGTGAATTTAATCAGCTTAACCCTTTACCGGCTACACTAGCTTGGGTTAAATTCAAATCAAAGTAGATTTTGTACAGTCTTGGCCCCAGCATTCCCTTAAAGATGAGTCCTCCCTGTTAATGAGGTGTCACGGCACAACTCTGACCACAACACTGGTCAGGGTTACACTGCACTACTGTTACAAACCTCGTCACCATATCACTCTAGAATACTCACATTTTAACATTAACGATACCCAAAAGATAGTGGGTCCAATGTTTTAAGTTATTGAACAATCGCCACGGAGTCACCCCACCATTGAGGCAACAATTCATACGTTCATTTTCCTGTGAGGAACCTCAGTTTATCCTGTGGTCTGTCTCAGTGCTCCAGGGGACAGCAGCAGTGCGATTGATGATCTAGGGTCAGTTTCATTCATGACCATAACACCAGTTCAAACAGGAACAGGCTGGCTTTGGTCTGGGTCCCTTTCCACTTTATCCCTCAATGTTAACCCAGGTAATAGCTATATTTAATCGCTTTGGCTTGTAAACTCCTCCCTTTGCCATGTTAAGGACTTACATTTGCCCTGAGCCGGAGATGACAGCTAGGATATCACAGCATATGGATGGGCAGAGCATGTCAACTAAATCTGATCTGAGGAGAGAGAGCCGGATAAGAATAGCATGGCTAGGTCACTTGGTTTAAATAACAGCTCACCATCAGGGATACAAAGATATGGCCAAGCACTAGGAACAGAAATGACAAGCAAAGTGGCAGGTATGTTCAAATTTAAATAATTTCTCCCCATTTGCCTGAAGCTTGTACTAAATGCAATAATGGTTGTACAGTGTTTATGATAAAAGGAACAGCCATCGTACAACGGGGGGGGGGGGGGGAGGAGGGAGAAATCTTGATTTGATTAAGTTACAATCCCTGAAGACAGACCCACAGAGAGCAAGAGATTGTTTTGCTTGGGTGATCATCAACATCATCTTAAAGAGCAGTCTGCGGAAGGAGCTCAACGGTGCTTTTCAAGCACATACTCTCCGTTTGACAACCCAGCTGATTAGGGTAGGCGTTGCTTGTCAGAACAGTTCTGTGTATTCTGTGGGAGGATTACCAAAACTTGCCAAAGATAATTTAGCTCAAAGATCGGAGGAGGGGGGGAGGGGGGGGAGTGGTGAACAGTCTTCTTTATGAAGCATTAATGTTACATAATTCAGTACCTCGGAGGTATGTAATACCCGGCACTAGTTAAAATGAAGACACCAGTTAAACACCATGTTTTTAGGGTAAATTTGTAAATTGCAAATACTGTACAGATGTTAAGTTTTGAGTAAAACACTGGCCTTGAAGCATTAAACTGTACATGAAGATTTTACTGTAAATTACAAGCTTCAAAGGAAGATTGGCACTGCTTACGCAGACATATATTCTGTGTAATTTACAATACAAAATCTATTTGTATTATAAATATTACACTTTACAATATATTCTGTGAAGCACTTTGAGATGTCTCAACGACGTGATAAGGCACTATATCAAACGCAAGGGTAATTATCTCTTCTGAAGGGATACTGGGGTGAAATTCCAAATTAGAGCATCTTTAACAAGGTGAGTTGTAACAGAACCCTATGGCCTTCATCCTGACCCACGAGAAATTGTTCTGAGATAATCTTGGGTTGGAGCCCGGTTTCTCAGGAGTTGGTATAATGTACGCTGGGTCCAATGCAGGAGAGACAACCATTTCTGATGCCGTTTTCCCTGACAAGCTCATTAGGTGTCAGTCTGGCTCAGTTGGTAGGTAGCATTTTGCCTCTTGAGTCAGAAACTTTGCAGGTTTAGCCCCAAATCAGGCTTTGAGCTCATAGTCTAAGATGATTCTCATCTTATAGATGATTCTCTAGTCGGGAGCATTACATTGCCAGTGTCTTTCAGATGAAACCTTGCCATCTGCCTGTTAAAGATCCTGTGCCACTAACGTGAAGCATATTGAGGCATCTCGAAGACGTGATAAGGTGTTATATCGAGTGCAAGGATTATTATTATTACTGCTAAATCCTGTGTAATAACAACCTTTCAGCAAATTGTATTGAACTTCTTTAAAGCAACGTTTTAAAGCAAAGATCCATTTGAAAAAAATGTCTTAGCGATTGTGTAAACCGTCAGAAATCTAGTGTGTTAATTAAAGTAGGATGAATCATGCCAGCCAGCCAGGCAAAATGCACCCCGTGGCTCAGTAACAAAGGGAAAAGGCTACACAAATGATGTCTTTAAAAAGATCCAAAGATTGATCTAATTTGCAGGGCTATGGGGTAAGAGCGGGAGAGTGGGACTGGTCGGATAGCTCTTTCAAAGAGCCAGCTGAGGTGCGATGGGCCAAATGGCCTCCTTCTGTGCTGTAAGAATCTATAATTCTATGATACGGTGGCCAGTAATATGCAGAAATGACAATGTACGTAATCCTTTCTCAACTGAACAACAACTCGATTCATCAGTCAAAAAAGCTTCCTATGATCTGGGATACTGTCTCCTCATTTATAATTTATTATTATTATAAATTTATCATTTATCAGACGCTAACCTTCTTTCTCGATCACTTTAGAGTAGGAAGAAGTGCAGATGTACATGGGTTTAGTGGTTTTTCACATTCTGAATCTATCACTGAAAAAAATGGACAAACTGCTCAATTCAGTAACATGACCTTGTGAAGGATTAATGCCTGAAAGCATTTGAAAGCATTATCATTTGATAATAACCCATTAGTGTTTGATCCCTCGACCCTTCCTGATTTCGACTACAGTAATGTTTGCCTAACAATACACATTTTCAGCTCAGTACTTTAAGCAACGCCAGGGTTGAAAGGTTCCAGCTTACAGCAAGTCACGCTCCATGACCTACCTACCTCTCCTGTGCATGTCCTGAGAATGTAGCTTAAACAACGATTTTGTTTGTTCTGTGTTATATGTCATCTTGTGAAAGCAAGCAACTAGGAGACCACAATGATTACCGTACTTTCACGAAAACTACCTGCAGGGTACATCTTATAAAAAGCATATATTTCCAGAGACAATGTGGCTTATATTCGTGGGCGGGTTATATGTGCAACTTTTTTTGCAGATGGCTGGCCAACTTCAGTCTTCCTACAGGTAAGAGGTAAGTCATTACAAGAGTGAAGATGGTGGATTTTATATGCGTGTGTGAACATGGAAACGTTTCTTAGTGCGTGTAAGAGTTTACATCTATGTATATTAATAGGAAGGCAGTTGGAGCATATGATATTTTGATGTGGGGTGGAATCAATGTGTGGGATAACGGTATTTTACTGTCCCACAAGTCCCAAAGCATAGTCCTTGTTAGGTTAGGTGAGAGTGCAGGTTTTTTTTTCGTGAAATTACGGTAACAATCCACAGTATGAGCTTTCACGAAGTTATTAATTTTAACTGTAAAAATTGCTGTTAAAACGATTGCAGACAGGACTTTTATTTAAGAGGTGAATTACTCTGAAAAAAATCGGTTGGTTTCTGTTAGGTAGTGGGTCAACTCAAACCTTTTCCTCCGCCAAAACAGTGCTGCTGCTGGGATGAAGTCAAGTGTCGCATTGTGTTTGGTCTTTTTCAGCTCGCAAGCAAGAAATCATCAAGCTCACCGAACAGCTGATCGAGGCCATTAACAATGGGGACTTTGAGGCATACGCGTAAGTAATAAATGGACCGAATGGCCTCCTTCTGTGCTCTAAGATTCTATGATTAAACAAACTTGGCTACAGTTGTTATCAGGCACCAGCATCGCTTCATCTCGGTGATCTGCTACCTGAGTCCTCTCCTTGCCCACCTCCCCATCGGTTACCGAGCCTTCAGCAACTACCACCCCTACACCCCCCACCCCCCCAGTCTTTGAATCCAGCCTAAAAATGTACCTCTTCAATCACACCTGCTTTCCCACCCTCCCCTCACCCCGGTCTCTGTACATCAACAACATCAACTTGCATTTATATAGTTATGTCATTACAGGTGCACTGATAAAATAATCCTTTGTTACATTTCTCATTGCAGAAAAATATGCGATCCAGGTCTGACTTCGTTCGAACCTGAAGCTCTGGGAAACCTAGTTGAAGGAATGGATTTCCACAGATTTTATTTCGAGAACTGTAAGTAACAGTGGGCGCTTTTGCACTGATGCAGCTAATATTCTGCTAACTTTCTATTTGCAGGGCTATGGGGTGAGAACGGTAGAGCGGGACTAGTTGGATAGCTCTTTTAAAGAACTGTCCCAGGGGGCACGATGGACTGAATGGCCTCCTCTCCTGTAAGATTGATCCATTGGTGTGGTCAAGAACTGTGAACACCCAATAATTAATCACAGTCTGATCTTTGCACAAGACTGGTATATATGTAAAAAGACGTATACTTGGGATGCAAGGGTTATTATTATTTCCAGATCTGGGTTCTAACGTGGAAGCCTCTTCTCAGTTTGTCTGTTGTTTTTACAAAGACAGGATTTATTTGGTCTGGCAGACCAGCAGAAAGATATTTCTTGAACGTTATCCAACATCCACGCCTGGATACTGATGTGCGCAAATGGCTGGCGCGTTCTGCCCACAAAATACCACAATCAATCCACTTTACAATATATTCTGTGAAGTGCTTTGAGACGCCTCAACAGCGCTATATCAAATGCAAGGATGCAGCATCAATAGGAGCTAAAAGTATGAACGTTAACTGAGTTGCTTTGTTTTTCTTACCCCTCCCCCCCCCACCCCCCGCAGTGTTATCGAAGAATAGCAAACCCATCCACACCACCATTTTGAACCCTCACGTCCACCTGATTGGAGAAGACGCTGCCTGTATAGCGTACATCCGGCTGACTCAGTATATAGACAGTCAAGGCAAGCCCAGGACCACCCAGTCAGAGGAGACGCGTGTCTGGCATCGCCGTGACAGCAAGTGGCAGAATGTTCACTTTCACTGCTCGGGAGCTCCAGCTGCACCTCTCCAGTGAAGGTACGGTAAACAGAGTCCAGTGTCTGTTGCGGTCGAGAATTTACGTGGCAGAATAGATCACATCAGTGGACAGTGAGAGGTGGAGAAGCAGATGGTCCAGATGCCATTCAGCCACTGTTGGTTTCTTCCACAAAATATACAGTCAATTCACTTTACAGTATATTCTGTGAAGCGCTTTGAGACATCTCAAAGTTGTGATGAGGCGCTATATCAAATGCAAGAACTATTATTATTTGGAAAGTCAATATCGGATTTCTGCCAGGAAAGAAAGCGCTAATCCATATCAAACGCAAGTACTATTATTACTACGACTGGCAGAAACCAGAAGTGACTGAAACATGCCCTGACTGAAAGCCGTATTAATTTATCTCCTCCCTACCCACCATCATTCCCTACCTTTCCCCCAGCTCACACCATCCCCTTCACACTCTACACAATTGAGCAATATATAAACTTCTTTTTTAATATATAAAGTATCGGCAGATGGTCGGTCTGATGTACGAATATGAATTAATTTCTTTCAAAGCGGCAATGCAATCAGTATCTGTAGATCCTGCAGAAATGTCCCACTAAACCAGTTGCTGAGCCTAGATTATACCAAACGGGATTAGAGGCTCTGAAACTGTACGAGACGATGATGGCATATCATCTGCACAAACAGCTCCACTCTGTCAGCCCTCATGTCCTCCCACAACACCAGCAGCAGAAATGTCCCATTTGCTCGGCACTTTGCATCCTCCGATATATGGCTGGTTCCTTTTGAAAGGCGTTAACTGATTCAATATCTGCACTGATGTCTTTTCTGTACATCTACTATATGCGGTTGCGTGCATGCATCTTTCCCGTTTCAGCAGCCCCAGGGCTCTGCTGTTCACCACAACCAAAGAGCAGAGATTAAATCAGAACAGTCCATTAACTATATCAATCCCCTTACCAACTCTCAAATAAACTGAATCCAGGCCACCGCTGATGTGATTTCTTACTGTGTGTGCCAAATAACAGGGTGACGTGCTCCTGAATTTTTCCATATTTCATTTCCACTCTACCCGCGATTGGCTGCCATGTTCCGCTCACAAAATAGTCAATTCGCTCCACAGCATATTCTGTGAAGCGCTTTGAGACGTCTCAAAGTCGTGATAAGGCGCTACATCAAATGCAAGGAATTATTATTATTATTATCCCAATAACTTCTCCTTTGCCCCATTCTTCACACAGCTGAAGACGTTGGCACAGTTTTGTACCTGACAAACACTCAAGCTGAGCCTATGAAGACCAGCAGTGACATGCACGTGTCCGCATGCACATTATGCTCCAGATGGCTGCATAATTGTCACGTTTGTGGAACCATACGGTGTTTCTTTCAACTGTCTCAAGATGCAGACCATTAAAAACGAAAAATCATTTAAAAAAATCTAAAAACAGCTACTGTATATGTACTTTATATGATTCACATTTGATGGCAGTGGTGATTCATCGCAAGTTCATTTGAAACATTTGCCAAAGCATGAAGGTCAGTTGTCAATTTAATGGCTATCATCCTTGTGTTGGAGGGTTAGTGTTCATTTTAAATGACATTGTACGCCAAAAGCAGTGTGTCATTTGTTCTCTTGGAAACCCACAAGACTGGTTGTAAATTCTGTTCATCTCAGTGGAACTGTAAAGAACACTCTGTGTTTGTCAGTCGCTGGCAATTTGGGTGGTTTAAAAGACGGCCAATTTTTTTTAAAAAAAGCCAACATTTCATTTTAAACAATTGTTGCAACCAATTTTTGAGATATCGCTTTGAAAATGTCAATTTTATTATAAAATATAATCATTTGAAAAAATTACGACCGTTTGTGGGACACTGCTGTGCGCAATTGGCTGCCACGTTTCATCCACAAAAATACAGTCAATTTACTTTACATTATATCCTGTGAAGCGCTTTGAGACGTCTCAACGACGTGATTAAGGCACTATATCAAGTATTATTATTGTTATAAAATACTAAGGCTTCTGCCTTCACCAAGCCGTCACAAGTGGTTGCTGTACGCAACCAAAGTACATAAAGAAACACAACAACTTTGTTTTTTCATCTCATATCTTTGCGTGCTGTATTTTGGGGGAGAGAAGCAAGATTGATTTGTGGATTTTCTCATTTTGTGTGCAAAAGAAAAGTTTATTTGGTAAACAAAAAAAGTTAAAAAATTATTTTCAAAAAATTCACAAAAAGGTACTTTCAGCTGAAACCAAGATCTAAAGTGTTCAAATGTGAAAACATGGAGGAATTCTTTCCCCGGTTTTATTCAGCTGTTAATTATTTCACGTGCTCAGTAGCAAAGGTATTACAGTGTTCTTTACTGTTTCATTATACTGTGCTACCGACTCCAGGATTCAAAAGTTGCCATGAGTTGAAACTATATGCATTTTTACAGAGTTGATGCATGTTATATATTTATAGCCAATAATTTTATTCTGTGTTTAACTTGCAATGGGTTCAGATGATGTTCTGAGTTTTACCGCTTTGGAATTGCACAGTCTTGGATGCGTGTTGTGTACATTTGACGTCTGAGTTCGGTCTGGCTCAGAAAGGCATGATCACTTTGTTGTTTCTTTGTTAAAACTCGTGTAGAAAATAGTTTGTTCAAATAGACAAAAAAAAAAGTTTGCATGCCATAATTATCCCTGTTGCTTTATAAAAACGATTGCTTGTAGAGCTATACTTTCTCGTTCCCTCTCCTTTCTGAGCTTCGTAACTGGTTCAACTTTTTTTGTCTGACAATATGTAACGGAAACCTGGTTTGCATGCATTCTTCCAACTGTTTAACAATGTGGTGCAGGGGGCTGTGGAAACGCATTGAAAAGGACTTCCTCTTCACGTTTTTAATGGATGTTTTACATTAGACAGCTAGGATCTCAACTGTAACGAGCTGTGTGTGGGTCACATTTTTATTTTTATTATTAATTTTTTTTACGAGGGCTGTGAATTAAATGAATGAGTTTTACCTCATTGTTTGCCGAGTGTGGCTTGAAGTGTGAAAAAAAATTTGTCGATTTGCTGGAAATATTTTTATGGTTGACATGATGGACTATATACGCTTTTTACACAGCAACTGCCTGAATATGAAATGTGATTTTTTTTATTATTATTATGATTCAAGTTTTCTGCAGCTGAAATTCTGTCAGGTCTGGTTTATATGAGGACAAGATGTGTTACAGGATGTGGTCTGTGTTCCTCTCACCATTTAAAATGTTGATATGTTAGAAATAAAATGACTATACGAGTACAGGTGTGCAGTTACCATTTTGTGAATATTTGATCAACTTATTTTGATTGTGGAGTTCTGTAGCGTACTGGTTAGAGCACTCGCCTCACAAGCGAGAGGATCTGGGTTCGATTCCCGGTCGGTGTGAAATATTGGGCAAGTTTTCTTACTCCACGCACTTCTGTTTACCGAGCAGTAAGTGGGAACCCGTCGTTAGTCGAATCGCTTTTCTGGGGGATAATAATCCCTTAAAAAAAATTTGGTCACTTAATCCACGCAGGAGGAGTTTATTACTGTACTTAGACAGTTCCCTAGAAAGGACAGTTATGGGTTTAACAATGTGGAAAGATACAAATTTTTCTCAAACTGCAATTCAGAGTCCTAAACCGTGCGAGGTAACAACACACAGGAAAAAGGAAAGCCACAGAAGTTCACCAAGAACATTCCCCAGAAATCAATCTATTTACATCCGCCGACGGCACTTATTTCGGATTGACAAATCTCTTTGCTGATCCTGATCATTTGCGCTTAACACCGAACACGCTACGGTACGTGCTTAAACTTTGGCCGAGCCGAAGCGATCGCCGCTATTTCCCCGGGCCCGGTTAGGACGGCACTCAACGAAGAAAATCAAGAAAGAAAAACCGACATCCACGTCGCTCTACTCCCTGCGCCTTCATAAAAAGATTCTGTTTGGATCGAGAGCGATGAAAGAGGCGAGTGGACCGCGTCTTAATATAATTCGGAAACTCGGTAAGAACATTGCTGTGCGCAGTTGGCTGCCGTGTTTCTCCCACTTTACAGTATATTCTGTTAAATATTTCGAGGCATCTCAAATGATATAAGGCGCTATATCAAATGCAAGGATCATCATTATTATTATTATAAACTGCTTGATACACCTTGTAGTTTTGTACTTCAGATATTTTTGCATGGATTATTTATACAGGCTTGACGTCAGTTAGCTTCATTACAAAGCTTGTAACAGAATCCTCTTGTATTAAGGAATTGCAGCTGGGACTTGAATGCCGACACATGTCATGTCATTAGGACCACACTTTATATTTAAAGCAAGATTGCACTGTAAAGATACGTATTATACATCAGTTTCACTGCCATGTTCCCTTTAAAAGTTCTCAGTGCAATCAACTTTAAACTCCACCCCTCCCTCCTACATCCCATAAATACCCCAACGTGCAGTTACTTTCCTTCTTTGCCCATCCGAGGGGGGAGGTCGGGCGAGAAGAGGAAAGGTAAGACTTATCTTCTTTTCGTTTCAAATCAGAAACGCTTGGGTTGTATTGTCGTGAAAGCAGTGGGTCGCTCACTATCTGCAACTCGTTGGTTGGGGGTTTAAGCTGTTTGGGTGTTTTTGTCTAAATATATAGAAGTGCTGGTGGGTGGGGGGTCATTCCAAAGTCCCTTCTATCCTCCCCTCTCCCCTTCATTTTCATTGGCATGTTGCTAGCGATGTTGTCCTGACCCAGGGTGGGTATAGGAAGGTTTTTTCCCACCCCCCAGTGACTTACAAAAGCAAAACGCTTCCTTCAAAAACTTCAACTGAGGCTTTTTGCGGTGAATTAATTGTGCTGTTGCGGATGTGCGAACATACATCATATATGTGAACTTATATATATGTGAACCTATATACATATATATATGTGAACCTATACACATATATATATATGTGAACCTATATATATATATGTGAACCTATATATATGTGTGTGTGTGTGTGTGAATCTATATATATATAAAGTGCAACACCAGGAAACCCTTCAGCTCGTTCAGGCGCAATCGAACCACAATTGCTTTCGGAGGAGCTTTAAACGGGGCCCCCAATTATTATTATTATTATTATTGTTGTTGTTGTTGTTGGGACCGGTTTGTGTGAGGAGTAGGACCTGGGAGTCCACTCCCCCAATTAAGACCGCCTTGAAACTTAATTGCCCCACGAGTTCGGTTCGCGAGGCCGTCGCGCGGAAGGTCTGAGATGAGTGGTCTGCGGTTTACTGAGAGTGCGGTTGACCGGTTCGGATCCCCCCCCCTTCCCTCCCCCCTCCTCCCGTTCACAAAATGGGAGTCTCTGGTCCCCAAACAATTGTGTAATGTCGCTTTTTTTTTCTCTCTCTATTCTACGCGGGTTTTTTTTTTGTCGACGTCGTGATATAAGGCGCTATGTCAAAACCGCGAGGGAGGTGTTGATTGTTGGTCCACACAAACACACACACACACACACACACGTGAACATTGGAGGCGATTTTTGCAGCGATGGATAATAGGGGGGAAACAAAAAAAACGTGCGTTTCTTCACCATCTGCAAGTACTTACCCCCCCCCCTCCACAGCAATACCCCCCCCCCCACACACACACAGTAACAGCAACAGCCCCCCCCACACACAGTAACAGCCCCCACTCCCCACAGCAATACCCCCCCCACACACACACTAACAGCAACAGCCCCCTCCCACAGCAACAGCCCCCCTCCCCACAGCAACAGCCCCCCCTCCCCACAGCAACAGCCCCCCTCCCCACAGCATTACCCCCCCACACACACACACAGCAATACCCCCCACTCCCACAGCAATACCCCCCCCCACACACACAGCAATACCCCCCACTCCCCACAGCAATACCCCCCACACACACACAGCAATACCCCCCACTCCCCACAGCAATACCCCCCCACACACACACACAGTAACAGCCCCCCCCACACACAGTAACAGCCCCCACTCCCCACAGCAATACCCCCCCACACACACAGTAACAGCCCCCCCCTCCCCACAGCAATACCCCCCCACACACACACAGTAACAGCAACAGCCCCCCCTCCCCACACACAGCAATACCCCCACACACACACACAGCAACAGCCCCCCCCCCACAGCAACAGCCCCCCCTCCCCACAGCAACAGCCCCCCCTCCCCACAGCAACAGCCCCCCTCCCCACAGCAACAGCCCCCCTCCCCACAGCAACAGCCCCCCCTCCCCACAGCAACAGCCCCCCTCCCCACAGCAACAGCCCCCCTCCCACAGCAATACCCCCCCTCCCCACAGCAATACCCCCCACACACAGTAACAGCAATACCCCCCCACACACACACACAGTAACAGCAACAGCCCCCCCCCCACAGCAACAGCCCCCCTCCCCACAGCAACAGCCCCCCCACACACAGCAATACCCCCCACACACACACAGTAACAGCAACAGCCCCCCCCACAGCAACAGCCCCCCACAGCAACAGCCCCACAGCAACAGCCCCACATACACAGCAACAGCCCCCCCTACACAGCAAGGGCCTCACCTTCTGGGTCAGTCGAAGCCCCTGTTCCGGGGCTGTTTTGAATCTCTGATGACGATTAAAAACTCTCTGTGTGTGTGTGGTGTGTGTGTAATGGCGGTGTCTCTCTTTGTTTTTTTTTCTCTCTCCTCGTCGTGTGTTCTGGCGGCGATGTGGGCGATGCGGTCAACGACGACGTCCTCCTTCGCGCCTTCTGCCGCTCGAGCTGCGCCGCGCCTGCGCATTAAATAGCCCCCGCGAGCGGGCGGCCGTTTCTGCGCGTGCGTCAGCTCATTCGCCTCGCGCACCCACCCACCGCCCGCGCCGGCCCTACCCGCACAATTGGGCTGGTTTCACGCCCACTGGGGCGGGTTTTTTTTTTTTTTCTGTGTGTGTGGCGTAGGGTTGGGCGCGGAACTTTGTGCGGGATTCACGCCCCCAATTGGGCGGGTTCGTGTTTTTTTTTAAACGCGTGGGGGAAACCACGGCTTTGCGTGGACCCGACTACAATTTCCACCTCTGTCACGCTCCCCCCCCCCCCCTCATTCCCCTCCACCCCCGCAAAAAAAAAAAAAAAAATTCTGCTATACGGGAGACGAGCGGTTAAATATTGGGCTACTTTTTGGGCTCGTGTTGGGGGCGCTTTGGGCTACGGCCCCGCCCTCCCGCTCCGCCCTCGAGCCGCCGCGCCTGCGCAGAGCCTCTGGGTTCGGCTCGCGCAGCGACCGTTGGCGGCGGCGGCGGCGGCCATCTTGTCACCTCAGCGAAAGGGCGCGCGTGTGTGTGTAGGCGGCGGAAAAACAGTCGGTACGCGGCGAGCGTGTGGCCCCCTGAGCCGCCCCTCCGTTTGTTCAGCAGTCCGGCTGTGATGGCGGCGGCGGCGGCCCCCGCGGTGAGCCGGTGTCTGGGCGGTCTGCAGGTGAGGGGAAGGCGAGAGAAAAAGCCCCGAGGCCTTCAGGGCCTCAGGTTTCCGCCGCCTTCGCTTTCTAACCACCATCTTGTCCTCTCCCCCTCTCTCTCTCTCTCTCCTCCACCGCCACCGGGGGCTGGGAGAGCCCCCACCACACACACACACCCCCCCCACCCCCACACACTCCACCCCTCACACTCCCCCCCCACCCCTCACACTCTCCCCCCCACACACACCCCCCACACACACCCCCCACCCCCACACACTCCCACCCCTCACACTCCCCCCCCTCACACACTCTCCCCCCCCAACACTCTTCCCCACACTCCCCCCACACACTCTCCCCCCCCACACACACACTCCCCCCCCCCCCCACACACTCTCCCCCCCAACACTCTTCCCCACACTCCCCCCACACACTCTCCCCCCCCACACACACACTCCCACCCCTCACACTCCCCCCCTCACACTCTCCCCCCACCCCTCACTCTCCCCCCCCCCCAACACACTCTCCCCCCCACCCCTCACACTCTCCCCCCCACCCCTCACACTCTCTCCCAACACACTCTCCCCCCCCCACACTCTCACTCTCCCCCCCCACTCGCCCCACACTCCCCCCCCCCACACACACACTCTCCCCCCCACTCTCACCCCACACAGACTCACTCCACACACAGACTCACCCCACACTCACCCCACACTCACCCCCACCCCTCACACACACTCACCCCCACCCCCCACACTCACCCCCAAGAGTCACCTCCTGTCGATTTTTCTTACCGTTGATTATTATTAACTTAATTTCCAAGTTTCAGCCACAAAACACACAGTCGCTACAGTCGCTGCCCCTCACTCGGCCTCTTGAGAGTTTTTAACGGTTAAACCGATCCATTTGCCCTCGACGGCAAAAGCGGGTCTGACCCTCGCAACAACCACTTGCCCGGACGTCTCGAGGACATGATAACAACAACAACAACAATAATAATAATCCCGGCATTTGTCACAGCCCCTTATCACGTCTCCGAGACGCCTCAAAGCGCTTCACTGCAAAAGCGTAGTGACTGTGTGTTTTGTGGGTGAAACGCGGCAGCCCATTGCGCCCCAGAGACGACCCCACAAACAGCCGTGGATTGAACGACCAATTTATTATTAGCTTCAACCCTCGTAACAACGGCTTCACGCGCTCCCCCTCGTTCGACGAGTCTTCAAATCACGGCCGGAGACGTCAACCCGCGCCTCGCGTCACCTCCAGCTCGGCCGCAAACCACACCACTGTTTTAAGTATCGAGATAATCAACAATAATAATAATATAATAATTCTTGCATTTGACAAAGCACCTTATCACGTCTTCACGGGACACACTAAAGTGTAGTGACTGTATTTTGTGGTGAAACTCTGTGCCGTCTAAACGCAAGTTCTTGGGTCAAATGTTTCAAAGCACTTTTACAAAGTCCGAGTGATCGCACAGGACTGAGAGGACTGTCAGAACCGGGTTTTGGAAGCTGAGGAGAGTGTTGGCAAAACATGTCAATGTTGTAGTATCATATTGGGGTAATACAGCAAATGGTGGGGGGGGGGGGTTGTGGGGTTCAGAAACCACAATCCATTGACTGTTTCCCTTTTGTCTCCCGACCCCATCAGAAACATTGGTCAGATTACAGGGACGTTAAATACATAAGGCCACTTAGCGAACAGTTATAGAAGTATTTTCAAGTGCTTTGCACACTGGCTTGTTTCCCCGTCACTTGCACAGTTCTCGAGTCATCTAATTGATCGAGCAACCCATTATTATTATTATTATTTAACTGATACTGTATTTTATTCCAGGTTTTGGCTTGGCAACGTGGCTGCACGTGGAGGAGGAGTATTCAGACGACAGCAGTTTGTCTCAAGGTAAGCAGACAAGGAAACCACAGGTGCTCTTGAGGAGATGTCTAGTGTTGTGCAGCAGATCAGTGATGTTTATTGTAGGGAATAATGGATACCAAACACAGTGTTTCATTGTCTGCCGGGCACGCTGGTGGAAGCAGGTTCAGGAGGAACTTTTAAAAGGGAATTGGATAGGTATTTGAAAAGAAAAGATTTGCAGGGCTATGGGGAAAGTGGGACTTAGTTGGGACAACTCTTTCGAAGGGCTGGCACAGGCACAATTATAATAAGAATCCTTGCATTTGATATAGTGCCTTATCACGTCATTGAGACGTCTCAAAGCGCTTCACAGAATATATTGTAACGGGATTGACTATTTTGTGGGCCTTCTGTGCTGTAGGATTCTATGATGTCAGGTGCAATCTCAGCCCCAACATTTAAGAGTAGCACTGTCCGATGCCTATTTCCAAACTGTATGCCACTGTCACGTGCCAGAGCCAAGAGCTCAAGCATTTAATAATACTGATGTTGACTTTGCAAACTTGATTCCTTTCTCTAGAACCGAGCTGCCAGAGTTCGTGTTGGCAAAGGTGATAAACCAGTTACTTACGAGCAAGCGAATCCACCACATTACATTGCTCACCGCAAAGGTTGGCTCTCCCAGCACACCGGTAAGTGGCTTGTAGCTTCTGACACATTCTCCTCAACAATTTAATAATACTAATAATCCTGAATTTCATAGAGCGCCTCATATCATCGGGACTTCTCAAAGCGCTTCACAGTGTATACTGTAAAGCGAATTGACTATTTGTGAGAGAAGCATGCCAGCCAGTGTCGCAAGGCAGTGTCCCACAAAGAGTCGGGGATTGAGTGGCCAAATTATATTTATTTATTTGAAGGGATTATTACCCCTGGAAAGCAATCCGCTAATCAACTTGCAGCCGGGTTCCTACTTACTGTTAGGTAACAACAACAATACGATTACATTTGGATAGTGCCTTTCACGTCGGGAGGGTGTCCCAAGGCACTGGCTTAGTAAACAGGCGTGTGGAGTAAGGAAACTTGCCTAAGGTTTCATCCCACCCGGGTTTTGAATCCTACGTGTCCTTCACAGCTTTATAATTCAAATGGGTTAATTCATATGTCACAGTGGGAGGCAGAGCGAGTGCTAAAAGGAGGAATACATACAATATAACTTACATTTATACAGCACCTTTCATGTCAGGACATCTTAAAAGCACTTAATGCTTTGGGCCCTTGAGCTGAGGAAAGGGGAAGAAAAAAAACAAATCATCCATCCATGAATGCAATCAGAATGTAGAGTTCCATTGTACCCTCTATCGTACTATGGCATTGAACCACTGATATTATTCAGTTTATACTGAAAACCTCTGCAGACAAGTCAGTATGATTTTACTAGTGTAATCCAATCACAACAACTTACATTTATAAAGCGCCCTCCATGCAAGGCTCGCATCTCAGAGCGTTTAATTACAAGTTTGGTTATAAATGTCTCTGTTTTCATGCAGGTAACCTGGATGGTGAACTTGGGACAGCGGAGAGGACGATAGAGGATGTTTTTATCCGTAAGTTTATATACGGGACGTTCCATGGCTGTCTCGCCAATGAAATCGTGATCAAGAGACGAGCGAACCTGGTGTTGATCTGCGCGGTGTTTGTGCAGAAGCTGCCACCGCAGAAGTTCTACTTTCTAATTGGTTACACCGAGGCTCTGCTCACCTTCCTGTACAAGTGCCCGGTCAAGATGCAGGTGCAGACTGTGGACAAGAAAGTGATTTACAAATACCTGTGACTGCAGACTCGCCCGGTGAAAGGACAAAACACTAATTTTTGTGTGTGTACAGGACTTTCGACTCCCACTCTGAGTTAACGAGGAGTTTTATTTTTTTATCGGGGCCACAGTTCAGTTTCGTCTCAAAACACGAAAGGTAGGCATTGCAGGTTCGAGTCCGGCTCCGACGATTGCAAACCAGATCCCCTTGGACCTGATTGATGTCCAGGCCATTTTGGAGAGACACAATTACCCGACCACCTGCCTCCCATTGCAGTGATGTGAGCCAAGTGAATGCCATCAGGTGTGACCGGGGCAGCACTTTGAATGGTGAAAACTTGTAAAAATGCTGGAATTATTTATTGTTCAGGAATGAATAAATACAGTACAGGCAAACGCGAGGCATCTTAGTGTCCTGATTTAAAAATGTGGTGAGAGGTTGAATATTCGAGGCATTTTATTGGGGCGTTTTGTATTGAATACGTTTCTCAAAGGTGAAGCCCGGAGCGCCTGTGCGGTGCAGTGCGTTTGGGGCTCAGTTTGCGTCGGAAGAGATGTGCGGATATGGAGCAACTGTGCGGTTGGGTTTGGGAATGAATCGACTGCCTTTCTCCCTGAATCGGTGCCGTTTGCAAGGAACCTGGAAACGGTAGGAAACATATCATGAACTTCGCACTGACGGGTGGAAGTACTTTTCAGCCACAGACAGACAGACAGACACAGACAGACAGAGACAGACAGACGGCCCTGAAAACAACGGGAGCGCGAGTTTTAACTGCTTTTTCTTTTAAATATATTCGAGGCATTTTATACCCTTTTGCAGAGTATATTTGGATGGAAAAGGGCAAACGGGAACTGCAAACGGGGGGTGAGGGCGGAATGTTTACTCACTCTTTTGTCTTTAAAAAAAACACTCATTTTATTTTCCTTTTAGCCCGAATTCCGTGTCCTACTCCCAGTTAGTAATACTACTATCTCCTTGAATTATTTTGCATTTTATTTTAAACGTACTTTTCTCTCTCTTTCTCCCCCCACACACTCACACACACTCACACACACACACAGTGGCCACTCTTTTTTTTCCCCTTCGGGTGTTTAAACGCAAAAGGTTTAAAACTTTTTCTTATATATAAAAAAAGAAAAATAAAGGAACTTCGATGGGACTTCGGGTTTTGAATGCGGCGTTTTCTCGGTCGAGGCGTTTGGTTCTTTCTGTTCTGTTTCTCTTTCTTGCAAACAGACGAGTGAGTGAACACAGAGAGAGAGAGAGAGAGAGACTGTGTCTCTGTATCGGGATATTTCATTTCCACTTCAAAATAAAAATCAAAATAAAAAAGCGAATTTTGTGTTTTCTTTCCCCCCTTTTTTTTTCCCCCAAAGGACAGACTCGGGGTTTCCGTTCGGCTGCATTCGACGATTCGCTGTGAGCAGATAAAAAACCCACAGAAAAACACCCACAGAAATCACTCACCTTCCAACAAACCATAGAGCTCCTCCAGGAAAAGTTCCTCTGTGTGTGTGAGAGAGATGTGCGTTCAACTCCAGAGACCACTCAGCTCTGGGGAATGGCCTTTTATATTAAAATGTCACGTGATAACCCCCCCCCCCACCACACACACAAACACCCCCCACCCCTCCCTCCCCCCCACCCCAAAAAAAAAGTCTCCAAATCTCATGATTTGTATATATTTATTTTGCTCAGATGGAGGGACGGTCCGATAACGAACGCCATCGGTTCATTGCTCGTGTCCCGTTCCCCCCCCCCCCCCACCCCGAAGCTGTTCTGCACCATCACTCCCCACTCCCCCCCCCCCCCCATTTAATTCGACCGCAGGAGACGCAAACTTTTTTTTTTGTTTGTTTGCATTTAAATAAATATTCCACTTGAATTTCTGTTGCAACTGTTGGATAAGGAGGGGCGGAGGGGGTCCCGGACTTATTACAGAGAGTGTGGACTTAAGTGGGGGGGTGGGAGGGGGGGGGGAGTATTTGCTTAATAGATTTAATTGCGGTGGAGCTGCGGATCACCAGCTTCATAACCGAGCTACGGTTCCCACCCGGGAAACTGCGCCGGTTCTTTATTACCCTCCAGAACCGGGACGATGCCCCCCCCCCCCCGTGTTGCGCCGCCGCTCTAATGTCTATTTCTATTGGCCACGACTCCGTCGTTGCGATCCCGGAAGTTTGATCAAATGCCCCAAAACAATTCTCACATTTCCATTTTTAAATGGTTTTTTCTCTTCCCGGACTCCCATCTCTGCTCATTTGAGAGCCACACACATATATATATATATATATTATCATCAGATGGTCAATTTACTGCTTCCACAGTAATTAAATGGTTTAATTCCTTTCCGGAGAGAGATTTTCCAGTCCCTGGTAACCGAACGCACTCAGAATTGCAATAAAACTCGACGCAAAGATTTGTCACTCCCAATAAATGTGTCTTTTATTTCAACAACAAGAAAAAAAATGCTCGACACGCGATTGCGATTCGATTCAAAGCGCTTCAACCGCTGCGACGATTATTGTTCGCTCGTGGGAGTTCAGCTGAGATCCACACCCATCGTCGGCCAGAGTCGATTACCCTGTTATAAAGGGGAGAAAAACTTTTAACACTTAATTACACTTCACTATCGCTCTGCAAAAACACCCGCCCGCCCCTAAATCAAGTCGCCTGCTCTCAAGTCAGTAAAGGTGTTCTCTCTCCCTCTGAGCAACACAACGCAGACGCTGCTTTAATTTAATGAACAGGAAATTGTTTAGACAGTTCTCTCAAGGACAAAGTGCTGACACAAGGTGGGGGGGGGGGGGGGAGAGGGGCAATAATACAAAATAAAATCATAAGTTCCCCTCCCCACGCTGCATTATTATAATATATAGACGGTCAGCGCAAAATCTCTGCTCAGGACTCTTGAGCCTATCGTTGCCGGACGGACAGTGAAGGGTTTGCACAAGGGAGTCGAGAGGGGTGGGGAGGGCGACCGGATCAGAGAGGAAAGTCTTGAGACGGGGCCTTAAAGGAGGCAACGGAGGGGGGGGGCCGAGGCTGAGGGGCTCCGGGATGGAGTGCCAGAGGGTGGAGGCACGGCCGTAAAGTTACTAACCCTTACGCCGTCAGCAAAAGGGGACCTGCTCCTCCTCTTCGCTTTACACACTGAGCGATGAGGAGGGTGGTGGGGGGGGGGGGGGGAGTAGGTCAAAGAGCCACTACCAACACAACAGAACAAATGCAAGAATTATTATTATTATTACTATATTAACACGTGCTGCTTGAAAATGGAGACGGTTCAAAGTTACTCACGTGCGGAGACCGAGAAGCGTAGCAATGCCCGTGTGGTCCGGGTTGGATTTTTCTCGCCCGGTTACAGCGTCTGGAGATCCCTTTTGGAAGCCGCCACGACCTGTTCCGGGTGTATCTGAGTGACAAATAATTCCACGGATTGGAGCTGATGAGCGCCAGCAGGCTGGAGAGTGCGTGTGCGCGCTCTCTTGTGTTCAACACCACAGAAGAGCATCAAAAACACACAGGACGTCTTCTCACTCTCAAAGCGTCACTGATTTAACACAAACTCAAACTCAGTTCAACGGTGAATCTGCCCGTAGCAAATGCACGGTTGGCAGTAGATTCCTGGGAAGCGCTTTGAGACGTCCCTCCTCCCGACGGGGAAGGCTTCGTCAAACCCAAAGATTACAAATCCCAGGATCTGCAAATCAATCTTTTGCCTTAAGGTTTAAGTGGACGTTTGGGAACGGAGCCCCAACGTTTCAACCCCTCCACGTGGAGTCCTGGAGCTCAGTGGTTAGAGCGCTCGCCTCCACAAGCGAGAGGACCCGGGGTTGATTCCCGGGCGGGTTTCCTTACTCCGCACACACGCCTCTGTTTACCAGCAGTAAGAAGGAACCCAGTTGTTAGTCGACTTCCAGAGTAATAATCCCTTCAAAAAGAAATGTTAATAATTTGGTCACTTCAATCCACGACTGTTTGTGGGGTTCGCTGCTGTGCGCAATTGGCTGCCGTGTTTCACCCACAAAATGCACAGTCAATTCACTTTACGGTGTGTCCTGTGAAGCGCTTGGAGACGTCTCAATGGCGTGATAAGGCGCTGTACCAAATGCCAGGATTATTATTAATATAAATCACAGAAGCTGAGAGGTGAAGAGTTGCCGATCTTTCACCCGAAGGTGAAGTGCGGACGTTTGGGGACTGAGACACGAAGCTACACCCCGTCCAAACGACACGTCTGCCGAATGATGAGATCGATAGCAATTTGGATCCGACAGAAACAACAACAACAAATTACACCTGTAATTGCGCCCTTCACGTCGGAAAGACATCCCGGGGCGCTGGAAGAAAGAAGGGATCAGGTGGTGTGGGATGGGGAAGGAGGGGAGGACAAGAAAACCATTAAAGAAGCGTGACAAGGCAGCTCCTCCGTTTGAACACTGAGAACAGTTTTATTGAAATTAATGTCAAGCAAAGTCTGTATTCGTATCCTCTTCAAATCAGTGGAATGTCCTTACAAATCGTGGGAATGACCCCCTCGGGGAAACAAACCATGGCAATTATTCCAACAGTAATTTGTACCAGTTAAAAAATAAAAAATAAAAAGAGATAAAAGAGTTGAGCGAGAGAGACACCTCAGTGGCCGGTAATGTACAAAAGAATTGAAACACTCCAACAGTCAAACACGTAACACAGCTATATTGTTTACAAGCACTCGAAAACACTACAGTTAGTGAAAGAGCTAATACCTATATACAATCAGTTAAAGCCGCAAGTGTCCACACTCTATGCGATAACATAGTGAAACGACAGAGTCAAAGACTGTGCGTTTTGCATACTCTAAACAGCAACAGAGATTGGTCAACACAATAATGCCCCAAAGGTGCGAGGAAGGAAACTGTTAAACATTAGTGTGGCCCGAAGGGGAAAAACAAAAACAAGGCCAGTTGCGTTTTCCCAAAAGAAAGAGAGAGAGAGAAAAAAAAAATCCGGCAATTTTATATCACAGCGAGCATTCCCTTATAAGCTGTACAAACTTCATTTTAGGTTTTTTTTTTCTTAAATAAAAATGGAAAATAATTACAAAAAGGATAGATAGATCGGTCGGTCGGTCGGTCGGTCGACGGAAACCGCAGTTTGTTTGTTTGTTGGTTTGTTTTGTTTTCTCAAGTGTTTTGCTGTGCAACTTCACCCTATTCTATACAGTATTTGCCAAGGAAACACTTCACTTTTTTTTTAGCACTTGAGAATGAGCGATGAGAACCGTCTACTCGTTATCATTACGCTAAGTTTCGTGGTGATACAAAAATATACTGCAATACTGCCCCTAACCTATAAATAAAATGACCAAACAATAATGGCTGTAAAAAAACACACACACACACACAGA